ATTTTCAGCATGGATATCGGTAGCCCAAATTTTACAGGCCGACCATAGATATCAGGTGGGCGTCGGCAGGGGATCGAACCCCGGACCATGTGCATGGTTGGCGAGAGTCCTAACCACTGTGCCACCGACGCACGGGCATACATTGAGGAAACCGTTGAATAATATCACACAGAATACAGGCCATTGCTTGCGTAGAATCCGGATGGGAAGCGACGAAGGGATTATCGATGTGAGGGTGGTATGGAGGAGATTGTGTGAGGAGGAGATGAGACATGGTGATCAATCGTGGACCCAGACAGAAAGGATGGCAGCAAACAAAAAGAACCCCTACGTTCCGCTCGGAACCCAAGGGAATAATAATAACATTTCTATTGCATATCTTACGCGTTGGACAGAACTAAAATTCTAGAACGCAATGTAAGTAGGTCGAGGGAGATGCTGATTACTAAATTTTTGTTCATCGAATCTAGATTCGATAAGCTCTAGCTCTGTTCAACACTTAACATTTGCAGTAAGAATAACTCAACACTAATACCAGAGATACAGAAATTATTACTAACAATAAAATCAAAGGATAAGAAACAATCGAATTGTATAAACGAAGTTAAAGAGTTATGTGAGTGAAAACCTTGATATGATTATGAATAGCAATAAATTGTGCTCGAAACATGGTCATGAGTTTATAATATTGTATCACTGTGTGTTTCTATTCAATACAACTTTGAAAGATTTTTCAAATGGATTTAAGTATCTTGCGCTTGCTAGATGTCCTCTCTCCTTCAGAACTGAGTACCTTGGTCGTACCATACGTCCCACTTATGAAACATGATAGGAAGGAATACGATAGATAAATTTTAAAGTCTCGTATGTTTTCTATTTGTCAAGTAGAAAACACAAGGAACAAAGACGAAGAGTCCTCAAAACCAAGCTAGCCAAGATTAGAAAACAACAACCAGACAATACACTTATTAACTGCATAGTCAGTCTATCAAAACAACCACTATCAAAAATGGAACAACAACTACTACAAAAAGGATTAAACTGCGACACTGGATACGCTTCGAAAACTGATTTCTTCACTGTCCTTGAATCATTACTCAAATCATCAAACTTGAACGAGGAAACACAGGAAGAGATACGACAAACAATTGTACCAATGGTCAAACAGAAAAAACAACACACAACTCAATTCTGAAGAACTAAAGGCCCTTAAAAAGCTGAAAAGTAGGAAAGACATCGTCATTCTACCAGCCGACAAAAGGAAGAGCAACAGTAGTCACGGACAAAGAAGATTACATCAAGAAAGCTGAAGAACTACTCGAAGACGAGGATGTATATCAATAACTTTCAACAAATCCCATACAAGCATTGGACAACCGCATCCAAAGGACCTTACACAAGCTCACCAAAACTGGACAGATCACAAAACAAGACCAATGGTGAATGAAATCCAATGGACCAGTCCTACCCCGATTCTGCGGTAGACCCAAAATACACAAACCAAATATCCCGTTACGACCAATTGTATCACTCCCAGGAACTTTATAACATGCAGCTTATCCAAAGAATTATACAGAAAACTGAAACACCTAACGGAATCTTGTGATCACTCCATCAACTCTACTATCCAATTCCTAGAGAAAACCAAAGGCATCCAAATAGATGAACAAGAAATAATGATATCCTTCGACGTCACAGAATTATATACCTCAACCGGACAAAAACTAGCAAAGGAGACCATGGAACAATTACTCAGAAACGACGAACACCTCCAACAACAATCAAAAATGAAACGCACAAGCTGGATGTAATGCATAAACCTATGCCTAACAACTGACTTCCAATTCGACGGCCAAATATATGAACAAGTTAAGGGAACACCCATGGGATCGCCAATATCAGGTTTGATTGCAGAAGCAGTGATGCAAAGGCTCGAAAACATAATCCTACCAAAGATCAAACCCAAGATTTGGATACGTTACGTAGACAACACATTTGTAATAATCAAAAGAAACGAGTTAGATAAAACTCACAACTTAATAAACAACGTCTTTAAAAGTCTCGTTAACATCAACTTTATCTATATGGTCAGTGTATCTACAAGATGAGCTAAAACAAAGAGCTACGAATACATCCTGTCTGTCGTTACTAATCCGTGAATAAATCAATCAAACAATCAGTTATCGATTTAAAAGATCATTTACGGTAATAAAAAAAAGAAATCTAGTTGAAAGTTACACAAAGACACGCCCACACACACACACACAAACGTACAGACAGACTACTATGTGTGATTATCACATGAAATCAGAGAGACATATGACAGTTAAGAATTCATATTCATATTGCTAAACCTACAAAAATTGGTAAATTGGCGATGGAATTAAACAGAAGAGACTATCAGATGATCACATGACATGACAGTTAAAAACACAATTAATCAATTGTGATGAATTAAATAACTCGTTAGACCTTTTGAGCAAAAAGGTGAAGAATAAAATCGACTTTAATAAGTTAGATTAAAACTTTTATTTTCCTTAACTCATCACATGTGAGTCAACGGTAGAATGCTAACCAATTACACGCTACAATTGTGGCGTCTAGGGTTCGAATCCTGGTCACTAAAGTACTCTAGAAATCTCGACTAGTTTGCTAGCTGATTGATCGTAAGCCCTGTAAAGAAGGTAGGTTCCATCAGGGTGTGAGGTCAGCAATCCCTACTACCCCCCCCCCCTCCACCCCGTGAAAAACATCACCACAGCTAATAAAACTCAAGGGCTGAATGAATCATACTAAAACAGAACATTAATGGTTAACTGATACCATCAATATCAAAAGATTTCGATTCTTACATATGCATGGAAAATTCCCATTGTAACATATAGAAAATCAAAACAAGTGATTCAGCTAAGAGTCTCTTTTCAGCAACGAATTTATCATCAAGCTATGGAGCAATAAGAAGCGCGATCATTGATGAACATCTGGTTGATAATGATCACCCTATCTCTGTAGCCAACGCTTTTAAAGTCATCTACAAGGCAAAGAGTAATTTACCCAAATCCCTACGTACCCAACTCATCTGTATTGCTGAAGCTATCTTTGGCTATCGAAACAGAAAAGCCAGATCTCTGTGTACAAAAAAAGTTCGTTCAAGACCTTCAACTTTCACAGTCTTAATCCCTCCTCTATGTTAAAGCATGGTAATCCTCAATCATATTTTGGCTCTACCAATTTTTCATTTTTTCATTTTTGTCTATTCAATTTGTATACTCTTCCTTATTACGTCAATTGTTACTATTACTACTCTCACTTTGAACTGTCCCCGGTATTATTTCACTTGTTCCACTTGTCATTCTAAATCAATTGTTTTCTAAAACGTTAAATTCTATGCTATCAAATTTCACACAATATTACGTTACGTTTATATATATATATATATAAAGAGAGAGAGTTATTTCATTCCCTTGCATTCCGAGAGAAAAATAGGGCTTCCAGCCTTAAGGCTTGTGTTGTTTCTGCAAAGTGAGGTCGCTAGTTTCACACAGACCCAAACTTCACTCTCTACTGGGCTTACCAGTGGTTGCTAAGCGAAGGTGAGGCGTGTGTCAGCTAGAAATAGAACCTTGGACCACTAGTAGCGTGATTAACGAACACTAATCACCCCTCCTCATACAGTTTCTCAACTCGTGCATCTTACCTATTCTTCTTTACTGTTCACCCTTACTTATTCTTTCCTGGACTGCTTAAAAAACCCTATGTCATACTTCATAGAATTCTGAAAACTGTCAGTACGGCGAGTGGTATCCCATTGGGCTATATCGCTGATATCGCCATTATTGATAGGCACTTTATTTCATGCAAAAAATTTGCTAAAGGAATTTTGTCAGACTGTGAGCATTCACCGCAGGCACCCGCAGCTCCAACCTTGTGTCTCCTCAGGTAAGACAAGAAGTCTTTTCAGGAGACTTTATGCACGTACGTCTAAGTATAAAAATTCCACTATACCATATTTGGCACGCATTATTTTATGTGATGAAAGTAGTGTCAGGGACGAACTAACTAACCTTCTTTGCACTACTAAATAAACCATCCTTACAATATCAACCTTTATTTTTATTGCACTTCTTATGTTTATAGTCCTATCAATTTTTTGTTTTTATTTGTTTATTTTTTCATAAGTGTGAACATCATTTAGGCTGTGTTATAATTGTTAATTTTGTATTTCCCCTCACCATGCTGCTATATCAACAGAACATTAGATTCAATAATCTATAAAAACATGCTAAAATTTCCAAACTGAATCGCCAATACTGTTTGAAACAAACTCACTGTTATTATTATTATTATGTTTATTATTCTCATTTTGTACTTCGAACATTTTTGACTTTATACCGTAAATATGGACAAATTCCTGTGGTTAATTTTATTTTTATTTTATTTATATTTTGAGTAAATCAGATGGAATATTGTGACAAATGCTGAGAATTCTATTCTGTATTATAAGTAGTGCTGTTTTTGGAATGAAGTAGATTATTATGATTATTATTATTATTATTATTATTATTATTATTATTATTATATAACCAACATATACATGGTAAGTAATGAGAATATTATAGTTATATAGTAGAGTAGAGTGGGCGTCGGTGGCATAGCGGTTAGCACGCTCGCCGACCATGCACATGGTCCGGGGTTCGATCCCCGGCCACTGGACGCACTCCTTTACCTCGCTAAGCCAGTAATAAAGTTGGCAAAGAGGAAAGGTTGGGCATGAGGCTGGCTAGCAACCCCATCCTGTAAAAATAAACACCACTGTCACAGAAACTTCAGGCCTGTAGCTTGAAGCCCTATGTTCCACTGGTAACGTGAAGGAATAAAAAAAAATAGTAGAGCTTTCACTCTCAGGAAAATGAATCAATCCATTGGAGCTCTAATCTCGACAGACTGGTGAAAACACCAAGTGCGAATAAAATTAAAACCACAAGCTGATTAATACTCACCTGCATGAAGTTTTCTCACGAAATGATATGTTAGCTGATGATGATATCAGATTTCCAGAATGATTCGACGATGACAATGAAGACGAATCATTCAGAGTATGATTACTACTCGAGTTTTTATTGTTGCCATTGTTACTGCTATAACGGATATTTGTCTTATTATTCGTTCTCATACGATTATAACTTAAATCGATATGCACTAAACTCTTTGGGCATAGAAATAAATCTGACAAATGTTGAATAAGGTTGTAACTAACATCCAGGTAGACAAGATTTGGACAGATTTGAGCAAGTGACAATGACTTGGATGAATGTAAACGTGTTGAATGCAGGTGTTTCACATTGGCAGTATGACTTGATGAATTCGGTGGAATAATAAGACGGAGTGTTTTTAAACAGTTATGATGTAACCATAGGTGAGTAAGACGACTACTGGTTTGTTCTCCTGTAATCACAGAAAAAAAAATACAACCAATATAATTCAAAATATATATTATACTAACAATAGATTAAATGAGGGATTGGTATCACTCAGGCAACCACTAGAGAAATTCATCCGCATTGCTGAGATTCGTCTCCGGGTCACCCAGTACGATAGTCATGGACATTACCACTGAGCTATTGGGGCTCCTATAGGGAATGTGATGGATACTTTGATTGGAAACTAGGTAACTAACCAGTGTCATGCGTCTTGTTTTTCGTTTTCTGCAGAATGAATTCTATCAGTGAAGTCTGAAAAGTGACCACTCTATACTGGGTGGCTAGCTATCACGGTACAACTCATGTGAAAAATGAGCTAAATCCATTCTGTTTAACTCACACCACCCTCTTCATTCACAACTCTCACCTTTGTATCTCATCAGGCAGGACCAGAAGCCTATATAGAAGACTATATGCTCGCACTAGCAAGTACAAAAACTCAACTATACCCTACTTAGCTCGTGTTCTGTGCGATAAAGAAAGTATTAGACGTGACACCTATAACTTATTAAATAGTCAGTAGAACAACTGGACCTCGTCTTTCCAACTCATATCATTTATAGGTACAACGTTTTCTTTCTTTCTTTTCCTTTTCTCTTTTTTTGTTATGTGCTGTTTTGTATCTCTCTTCCTTGCAAACTCTACTTAAAACATTCTTCTTCGTTCTTTCACACTCTGTATATCTCGACCTTTTTGTTACCGCTTACGCCAGTAAACATGCTAGCATCTAGTTTTCTAACACCTTCAAACACTCTCTTCAATTTTGGCTTTGCTACCGACATGCTAATATGCTGCTGTCAAAATTAACTGAGACAACCTATAATCTATGTAGAATTTTATTTATTGTTAATATACACAAACTAGGTGCAATACTGTAGTGAAATGCTGAGAATTCCATTCTGTATCATAAGTACTATTTTGGAATAAAGCATATTATTATTATTATTCTCATTATATGGTTGGAAGCAATCGGTAGGAGGCCATCAGAAAAAAACCCACTTATTTCTGCATAACTTGAGATTTTACAACAGTAAGTACCCCATTCACAGGTTGAGGGTTCGAATCCCAATCCAGTTGCTTCAGCCTAAGCAACTTGGAAGTATCATTAATTCTTAAACAATAGCTTGGTATTACTAAAGGCATTTTTGTATTTCCCAATGAATGAATGAAAAACAAAACGATAATGTCGTTGCTTTTACTGACGTTTCGCTATTTAATGCTGCTGCTAATAGCTTTATCAAAGTAGTAATATTAAACCAGAAGAATTTAAAAAATCCACTCAGCTTATACATAACAACTTAATCATCATCGTTCCTTAGCATGGGGTTATTTTTGTGTTGTCACTTTGGCCAATTGCTCAAGATAACAAAACCATCATGTGTAGATTGTTGGATTTGATAAGTGTGTAAAATTATAAAAGCAGCGTGCGTTTACATAATGAAATTGCTTATCAGATTCGTGTTCATTTTGTCATTTCATGGGGGAAGGAAGTGTGCGTTGTAACCAGGTCGAATACTGTTTGAGTCCATCATTCCTATTCAGACAATTTGGATTCCACTTGGAATGAAGTGCTTCTGATATTATATTAGACGTTCTTTGTGAATTCTGAAATGCTTTCTCTGGATTATTTCAATATTGTCAAAATCAAATTTGTGGCCTGATTCTATAGCGTGTAGATGATTAATGATTTTTCAAGCTTTTCTAGTTCAACTAGATTTCATATTGGTTGGTCGAACAGATGCTCTACGGTGTTCATAGCTCGGTATATGAAAAGCCAAGACTTCATAAAAGATCCATCCAAGATTTATAACTAGAACGAAATGGCTGCCCGGGATTTAGATCATTTCGATTTCGGCCAGTGTGCACGCACTACTGGTTGGTGCGTGAGTGGTGAGTAACTACTCATCTCAATCAATCAGTAGTATATATGGCATCATACAAATATACTTTCTTTCTTTCTTGATAACCATTTATGACGGTATCAAGCAGACCGCACATTGTTACCTAAATAATTTCGGTTCCCAGATGAAGATAAGTTGGAGATTTTTCATCACTAATCCAGTAGTTTTGAAAATATGTATCCGATTTAACCTATTGTAAGGAAGAAAACACCCATGAGCCTCGAAGGAATGTGTATTAGGATGAACACTCATTGTAGGTACATAAATTTGATATACTGACTGACTGCATGTGTTGGGTGTAGACTCAATGAACAAACATTCAGTAATCAACCTCTCTCTCCACCTAACTACATTACTTTTTAGAATTTTAACCCTCTCCCACCACCTTATTGTGTGATTATGTCTTAATGCATGCAATGAAAATGTTGACTTTCTTTTTAAATTACTTATCTTTTCTAGGTTAGTCAATCTACACTAAGCTAAATTCCTATGTTCTGACAATCTGACTACCCCTGATCTAATGGTCTAATTAACCTATGTAGTTGACCTAACTCACAGTCATTGCAAGGTATTTTGTAAATTATATTGTTTTGTCTAATTGGGTCAACCGACTTTATTAAGAATCCTAGGTAGTACCTCAGATGTCCCCTCCTTGTATGGTAAAACTACTGTAGATGCCTTATATTCTCTCTTATTTATGTTATCATTACTAGTTTCACTATTTTTTTTATTTTGCTTTTGACCTTTTCTGAACTTCGTAATGAATTTTATAGGATAGTTATTTGACACCAACGCTTATTCTTCTTCTATCTGTTTTATTTCATCATTTAGGCCTTTTTTGTACTACTTAGTGCTACTGCTCGGTTTGTTGGACACTTAACTAAGCCTGCTTTAACAGTTAACGGATGAGATGAATTAAAGTCTAAATATCCAATATTAGAATGAGTTGGCTTTTTATGAACGCTAGTGTGCAGTTTACCTTCTTTTATTCGTTTTATTTTACAATCTAACATCATGGCTAATTCTCCTTGTTCATTTTTCGATTCAAATGTGAATTTTATTCCCTCTACTAGTGAGTTTATATGTGTCAAGAAGCTAGAGATATGTTCTGTTTTTAACACTGTGAAAGTGTCATCCACATGTCTCCACCATATTATCTTCGGAGTAGGATTAAATGTATTAAGAGGCATATTTTCCCAGTTGTCCATAAATATGTCGGCTACAATAGGGGATATTGGTGATCCATTCCACTGCTACACCTTCTGTTTGTCTATATATTTTGCCTTGGAATTTGAAGATAGTAGATGTGAGAAGCATAATTGAATTCCTATTTTTGAACTCATCACCTCATGAATACCTCCGTCTCAATGCAAGATACAGCTTTTTGACTATATTCTTCCTAATGTAAGGAAGAAAATACTGGTGAAGCTTGGAAGACAAACTCACTGTAGGTACATAAATTTGATATATCATATATCTCCAATGCTTTATTTGCAAATCATTTGCAAACTGGTCGAATATCACCACACATTCGATAGCTTCTTGTTGGATTATTCTGCACAGTGTTTCTAACGTTTTTCTCACAGTTCCGTTCTTCGATTGCCTTTTTCTCAAGTCCGAAAAATATTGTTGTTACTTTTCTGAACTCTTTTACTGATATACTACTTATATCTGATTATAAGTAGCATTTACCACAGTATTACCAGTTCGCCCATGTAGCTAGCTAGTCAGATATCGGGTGGCTTGAACTGATTCAACTGTCTGATCGGAGATCAAACTGAGTATATCGCTAATCAGTTTGACTGCAAAAGAGCGAAACTCCCCCACCCCCACCCCCAGTGTTTAGATCACTTTGCTCTAATTGGTAAACACTATTCGTTGATATGTGAGCAGAGCCCAACTACTCATGTCGATCAATCACTAATATATAGCAGCATCATGTACCACCTATACTTGCCCTTTTAATATTTACTTTTAAATGGACTGCATCTCATTATTTCACGAAACGACATCAAAGTGAAGACCTATTAAAAACTAGTTAGGAGTTGACAGCCATATTCATCCTAGTTCGGCAGTCCTCAGCATCGTACACCCATAACCAAAAAGTACATAAAATTAAAGACCTACATGTAAAAACGCGATCACGTTATCATTCAACCACTCGATTAGTAAAAGTACAGAAATTTACGAATTCTAACTCCATTTAACATGGTATATACAACTGGCTGACATAAACAGTTAAAAGCGTCTGAAATGAGTCAATTCAGAGAGTGAGAGAGACAGAGTTCAGATCACCCGAATTCACTTTGGCCAGCAAGCGCACTACTGGTTGATGTATGCGGTTTAAACCAATCATAGCAACCAGTCAGTCACCAATGCCATCTTGCAGTTTTCTGTGTCATTGTAAAGTCATTTATCTAATGGTAATTAGGTAACATGTTGTGATCTGAATACTTAGAATTTTCAAACAGAACCATGAATTGAGCTTTGAAGTTTCTATAGTGATTGGATTGATTTTTCTGGGTAGGGTCGGTAGCCCCACGCCCGACCTTTCCTCTTTTCCCAGACTTACGACGACCGACTGGAGAAGTAGCGAACTAGCAAACTAAGCGAAGTTAACCTGGGAGTGCTGGATAGCTACTTCTTCCTAGTTTGGGATACACTGGAGTTCGAATCCAGGACCTTCTGGTTACAAGGCAAGCGCATACACCATTCAGATAATGGGAACGAACGAATCAAGAATCTATTGTTCAACAGATACACAGAAGAAAATGGAGATGGATCAGACACACACTGAGGAGGCCGTTGGGTGACATCATGCACCAGGCGAAACCTTCAGTGGGACCCGAAAGAATAACGATGAGTTGGTCGTCACTTTGACGGTGACATAAAGGAGATTATGTGAGGAGAAGATGAGAGCCTAGGGGCGATCATAGAGCCAGCTGGAGAGGACTACAGAGAACAGGACAAAAATGAGATGAGCAGTTGACGCCCTATGTTCCAGTCGCAACCCAAGAGAACAATAATAATAATAATAATAAACGAAGAGATGAAGAATTTCTAACCCTAACTAATGGATTTTCAAATAACAAATGGGAATTTCGCTGAAGTCAATTTTCGAAATAGCAATCAATATAGCCGCCAACAGATAAAAGGCAGTGTCCTCGCTTCGTAACCAGATGGTAACGGCTCAAAGCGCCCTACTGATGTGTACTAATCTAACATGAAAAACAGCTGTCTAATAATTACACTGGTTCCCAATGTCCCTTTAATCAAGTGTTGGTTTGCAAGGATTTGATTGGTTACAGGTTTGGTTGAGAGCTCATATCACTTACAGAACTACTGAATATAACCAGGGAGTGCAGGATAGCTATTTCGTCCCTGCATGGGATTCTTTATTAGAGGCATTCGGTTACAAGGCGAGCTCACAGACCATTCAGCCACTGGTACTCGATCCACCGGCCCATGAATTCCAACTTCTACCTAATCACGATGTATATAGCGCAACAAAAAAAAAATTAGCTTATTTCATAGCCGAGTAATTGTTCTCTTATCTGACTTGGTGAACTCCACTGATCCCGACTATGCACTAAGACTTCACGTAACTCTTTGTATAGAGCCAGTGGCTGAATGATCTACGAGCTCGTCTTGTAGCCAGAAAGTTTTGGGTTCGAACTCCAGTGTGTGCGTAATGATAAAAAGTCTCAAAGTAGGAGGACGAAACAGCTGTCTAGAGCTCCCCTCTGGTTTTCCAGTGATTCTTTAACTGATGTTGGTTGGTAAGAAACTCTATTATGAATATCAATACCATCTGGATTCCAAATTCACTGAGGCCACTCTTTTTTCATACACACACACACACACACATACATAAATCACATGAACCTCCCCACCCCAAAAATCGTAAACTTTTACTTTCAAATACAATTCAAACATGAATGAAAGAAAACGCCAGACAAACGCTTACCAACGTGATGTAATGCAAAGTCATTCATTTTCTTGTCACATCTTTTGTCTATTTGATCATTTCGCGTAGGATGAGGAAGATTTGTTACAGGGGTTAAAATCTGATTAGCTGGGATATAAACTCTTTGTGCACAATCCACAGTGAATGGCCAATCATCAATATTCTTTACTGAATGTTTAGAAGACTTATTCCCGGCATTGTTAGGACAGTGTAACTGTCAATTAAATGAAAAAATAGTAAGAATATATAAATATATAAGGAAATACATACAATTCTTAGAAAAGATCTGTGCATAATAAGTGGAAATCTCTTCTACATACCTTTACGTTCCAAGTGAAACTCAGAGTGTATAGATTTAACTTCGAAGTTTCAGCAGTGATTATTATTATTATTTCCTTGAATTCCTAGAGGAACATAGGGCTTCCTCAGCCGCGCTTCTCCATTGTGTTCGGTCCTATACCAACATTTTCACCTGGCTCCACGTCTGCCTGCATGCTTTCATCTCCTCTTCACATGACCTCCTCCATGTCACCCTTGCACTGACGACCAACTCGCCGCTTCCCTTTCGGGGTTCCACTCGAGCAATGGCTTGTCTAGTGATGTCACTTGATAGTTTCCTCAGAGTATGACCAATCCATCTCCATTTCTTCCTGCCTATTTGTTTCACAATCGGTTCCTGGTTGGTTCGCTCATTCCAGGGATCCCTGCTATTGCTGATCTTTTCTGGCCAGCCATCTGATCTTGAGTAGTATTGAGCGAAGACAACTGTTGATGAAGGTTTGTAGTTTGTTTGAGATGCTCTTTATAACGCGCAGTGCAAGTCTCTGATCCTTATATAGTAGCACTGACTGACTTCACATTGGAGTTGAAAATCCGGGTCTTATTTTCATTTTTGATGCTGAGTGCTGTTGACCTTCAAACGGATTTGAGAGTAATGAAAGCTTGTCTTGCGCTTTCCTGATCCTCGCTGCTTTGATATCCTCATCAGTTCCACCTGTAGTTGAAACAATGCTTCCTAGGTAGTGATAATATTGTATTTTTTATGTCGGTCGGTTTTCGACATAGAACTTTGCACATATGTGCGGCAGTTCAAGTCGCCAAAATCTATGTAGCACGCAAAGCAAGAGAAGAAAGTAGAAGAAATGCATAATATAGATAGTAAACAGAGGTGTGAGACAAAGGAATAGTATACGAGAACAAATATTGAAATCATAAGTCACAAGGAGTGGATGCATCTGCGCCACTGAGAACGATTTTGAGTCATATCACCAATTGTTTCCAGCCATTGGCTTTTACCCTCCCCAGGACCGCAACCAGTAAGGAAGTCTACACCTTCCTACGTGGCTTAGATTAACTGTTGTGGATTTCATTGATTGGTGCCATGTTTTCGTTTGACCGCCGCTAGCTCTTTTCCAGCCTGACCCTATATCAGCTAACATTTCCCGTCGAGGAAGGCGATGACTAGGCTATGTGTGGTAGAGTCGCTAGCTTTAAGTCCAACCTTCCCTCTTAACTTGACTTACAGTCGGCTTAGCGAAGTTAGGGGAAGAGTCATCGACATGGAATCAAACCTAGACGACTTGTACTGTGACTGGCGACTATTCTACCATTAAAAGTAACGATGCACTCACTATACGTGTATATAATAAGTACTAAATGTGAGGAGGAAATATTGTAAAAATTTCAGTTTATGATGTATAACTCAGAAAAAGACAATGATTCAAATGATTTTCTAATAAATTTAACTGGTGGATGGTGACTGGCAGTGGAATGAACCCTCTTCGTCTTCGCATTCACGAACACAAACTAGCTGTCAAAAGACACGACATACACTCCCTCATATCACTACATGCAGACAACCACGGGCACCAATTATTCGACTGGGACAATGTTCAAATCTTAAACAAAGGGAACTGCAAAAATGCCAGAGAATTCCTAGAGGCCTGGTATTCAAATGAATCAGCAATCAATAGACACATAGAGATTGACAAAATATACCAATCCATACAAAGAAATTCACACAAAAACAAAGTCAAACTTCAGGTCAAGGAAACAGTCAACACCAAAACAAATGAACTAGAAAGTGAGAAGTCACACAAAAACAACCAATCACGTTCAAGGTTAGCAGAAGGAATGACTAACGACATTCAGACCAAAGAAGCAGCCAGCACCGAGACAAGCAAACTAGGGGGTGAAATGTCACACGAAAACAACCAATCACGTTCAGGGTTACTAGAAGAGATGACTAATAAACTCATAGAGAATTCTAAAAGCTCACTTCACATCGAAGTATGCGCTGAAGATGTTGCTCAGTAGAGCAATGAAAGCTTCGCAACCAAACTATCCAGCTCAGAGAACACAACCACACCAAAACATCTAGCATACAATTAAAAATTATCACTAGTTGATTTGAGTGGGCCGTTCTCGAGGTTTTCCATGAAGCAGTCTGCTAGCAATGGACCCAGAGGAGATCCCATTATGATCCCATCCTGTTGTCTGTATGCAAATAACATCGTTGAATGTGAATTGTACATTAAGTGTACATCTCAGTAAAAGTTCTTTTAAATTTACATGTATCTGCGGGAGCAGTTACATTGGAAGAACAGAAAGAAGAAGGGCATACCTCCGATTTTCTGAACACGTACCAAAAAGCCTACGTCTGAAGGAAACAAATGTTTTTAACAATGCCATCGCCAGGCATCTCCTTGACACAGGTCATCAGGTGGACGTCGCGAGATCGTTCAAAATTATCAATACGCAAAAGAGTTCAATTCTCCTTAAGTTTGCAGAAGCGATCTCCATCAAGCGTCTGAAACCCGATTTACGCATTCAGAAAGAGGAGATTATCAGTCTTTCTTCACCCTGGTAACTGGATGTTTTCATCCCCTCTTTCATTTGAATACGTGACGCCGAAAATTCCATTGTGTATGATTACTATTGTTTAGTATAAAGTGACTATTATTATTATTATTAATACCACTGAAGGTATATATTGATTTTTTGTTTAAAAATGAACTCTCTGTGCAAGTATGTTAAAGTTCTTTCGCTACATAAACTTAATGATGACTTTGGGGTGTAAGCAGCTGATGAGGAGCTAACGAAATAAATGATGGTATTATTTTATTTTGCACAAACCACTACTGTTCATGCGTTATTCAAATTCGAAAACCAACGAATTGGCAGAAGAGACAGACACCGAAGACAAGATTTCAAGTGAACATAGAGAAGACGGAGGTGATGAACATATCCAACCAATAACAACAAGCACCGGGCAACATCAACAGGAGACATCTGAAGGAAGAAGATCTACGCTAATCTGAAATCAGTTTGGAAATCCGTTACACTCAATGTAAGAAAAAAGATTCAGATGTCTACCACAATTGTCAAAGTAATGCTTCCATACAGTTCACAGATTTGGCTTGTCCCTGAAGGACTTTCCAACAGGCTGACGCAGACTATTACCTTCATTGACTCCAGACTGAAGATCAGAAGGCCGGTCAGAAAGGAAAAACAACAAGGAACTCTCAAAACCGACCAAGAACCTATCGCTCAACAAATATACAGCAGTAAATGGACATAGATTGAACGTGCGCTGGAGAGACCTCTGAGTGAAATCACATGCCAGGTAAATCCTCGAGTGGAACTCTAAAGGAATACAACAGTTTGGGCGTCTCAGTGACATGGAAAGGATCATGTGGAGAGTAGATGAAAGTTTATGATCAAACATGAAGTCAGCTTAAAAGAAGCGTAGAGATAGAATGGAGATATACTGCTGAAGCTGCGTGCTCCGTTGGGAACCCAAGGGAATAATATGAATAATATGAAATATAACTTAGCATTAGGGATATAAAATCCACAAAACTATATTTTTAAGAGTTCAATAAATACTTCCAGGATTATAATTAATATTATGTACTGTTAATATTATTCCCGTGGGTTACGAGTGGAACATAGGGCTTTAACAACACATCTCCACTTTCTTCTATTCTCTGTTGTCCTCTTCTGCTGGCTAGCTCCACGATTGCCCACAATCTCTCATCTCTTCCTCCCCAAAACACACGATGTCCTCCATGTCACCCAAACGTCGCCTTCCATTCGGATTCCACTCAAGCAATAGCCTGGCGTGCGATGTCATTCGACGGTTTCTTCAATGTATGCCCAATCCACCTATCTCCATTTTCTCCTACATATTTGTTGAGAGATCGGTTCTCACTTGTTGGTTTGTTCCCAGTCAGAGTTTCTTGTTTCTGGCCATTTGATCTTCAGTATGGAACCAACGAAGGAGGCAGCTATTGATAAAAGTCTGCAACAGGCTGTTGGAAATCCTTTTCGTGACGCAAACACAGTGCAAGTTTATGACCCGTACAGAAGGACCAACTTGAGATTGGTGTCGAAAATCCGAACCTTGTTCTTTATGCTGGCTGAGTGTGAGTGTTAAAGATTTCCAAACTGACTTCAGGATTCTAACTGGTTCTGACATTTTCATACGTTCCGCCTGTGATTGAAACGATACTTCCAGGATGAAGTGGATCAATACAGAATGGCGAATGGATTCAGACAAGATGTCAGCGCACCGAACTACCTTCGTCGATGAAAACTTCTCCTTCCGGGAACATAGGACTTCGAGGCTGAGCTTTGAAGTTTCAGTAGTAACGTTGTTTTTTGTTTACAGGGTATGGATGCTACCCTTACGCTTCCTAGCCATTCTTTTTTTACCAGGCTTACTACCAACTACTACTAAGCGAGATTTATAAGTGCGTCGGTGGGGAATCGAACCCCAGACCACTTGCAAAGTGGTACTGGCGAGCACTTAACCACTGAACCCGTTATAACCCACGTGTTCAGAAGGCACTAACATCAAAATACCTGCATACCCACATACTAACTGACTGACTGGTTTCAATATAGACCTATGTCCAGATGTGCAGCAGTTCGAGTCGCCACACTTCACCTAGTACACGAAGCAAGAGAAAAGAGTAAAAAGAGGTAATAAACAGAAGTATGAAGGGAAAAGAATAGTAACATGGCAGAACAGTAGAGTTTTATTGGATATAATAAGTCACAAAGAATGAATGCATCTGCGCCAGCCATTAAGAACGATTTTGAGCTATATCAACGATTGTCTCCAGCCTTCATTGGCTCCTACTATCCCCAGGACCCCGACCAGTAAAGAAATCCACACCTCCCCATATGGCTGGCTGGCTGACTTAAAACTAACTGTTGTGGATTTCATTGACTGATGAAGCCATATTTTGGTTTGACCACCTTGTGCTAGCTCTATTCCAAACTGATCCATTCTATGTCAGCAGCGAACATTGCCTGTTGTCGAGGAAGGCGATGGCTGACTAGGGATAAATGCGTGACACATGTCCTAACCATCTCAATCGGTGTAACTGCACAACCTCCCCTCCTTACGTAGCACTCGATCGATGCCTCACCTCAATATTACTCACCCCATTATACCACTTCACACAGGATATGGAACGCAGGCACCTATGATGAAAGACAGCTAGTCTTTTCATGACCTCCACTTACAGGTCTCACTTACAGCGATAAAGGAGGACGGAGCGGACTGCTGAGCAGTACACACGTCATTTGGTCGACAGCCGGATATCCCATCTACGCCAGAGACAGCGTAAGCGGCATATACCCAACGAGCCTTCTGTATCCGTGTTGAGATTTCGTCAGTGATAAACCCGTTGGCATTGGCTGATGCAACTTCCCAAATAAGTGAAGTGGTCACAACGTTCCATCAACCACTTTACTACCCATCTCTAAGCTAAGAGTCAATGTAGTTCAGTCCTATAGCCCCACCATCTTACATTTGACAGCAAGAAAGAATCGCATGCCAAACATTCGCAAATTGTAGCTCAAGGTGTTCAGACGACTCTGCATTATCTCAGCATCCTCATCTCATACTTGCACACCTTTCATCTGGTCAGTCAATATCTTACTTAGTTCAATAACAAAACTTCTAGTTAGTATACACAAATATAAAACTCACTCACCTTCATATTCAATGATTCTTTATACAGCTGTCTAGATTGTTCAAATTGTGCTTTCAGCATAAATGGCATAGGTAGATAGCCTATTTTATTCCAACTTAAATCAAGAAATTCTATCACGCTGTTAGACCATATTGCACAGGGTATTTTGTAAAGTTCATTTCTTGAAAGCAGCAGATACAATAGATTCGGGGCAAATGTATCATTTGACATAATTTTATAACGCATACTGAAGCTATTCGCAGTGTCAGTATCATTCTCGGAATAGCATCGACGACGATGTGGTGGAATACAGTTATTTGAATTTAGGCATGGCGACTGAATGTCTCCACCTCCGGAGCCGCCGCCGCCTCCTCCTCCTCCGCCTCTCCTAGAGTTCCCTTTCCCATTCAACAACTCCTCTTCATTACAGGATGTCAACAGGTTGGTAGATTCAGCTTTATTGATAAATAACCAGGTAGGCAAATATTGAAGATGATTCTCTGATAGGTCTAAATATGTAAGGCTGCGTGTCCAACAACATGCTGCCCATTGAGATTGACGATATGAAGCAGGAACACTGGGTAGACGTTTCGGTAACTTTTTGATACAATTCTTACTTAAATCTAATTCCTGAAATAAAAAAAATATTTTTTTTTAAAAAAGAAGCAGCAACAAGGAGACATGAGATGGCGACAAAATGAATTGTCTTCAAAGTTCGTTTTTATTCCTTTACGTTCCCCCCAGTGGAACATAGGGTGGCTTCAAGCTAGAGGCTAGGCTTGAAGTTTCGGTAGCAGTGGTGTTTATTTCTTTCTTACGGGATGGGGTTGCTAGCCAGCCCTCATGGCGAACCTTCTCCTTCTTTACCAGTCTTATAACTGACTGAGCGAAGTAAAGAAGTGCCTCATCGGTGGCTGAGGATCGAACCCCGGACCACATGAGGCGTGATAGGCGAGCATTTGACCGCTGTGCCAACAACAACAAACTCTAGGTTAACAAATTCATATGAAATGAAAAGGAAACTAATTAACATTCAATTAGAGAATAATGAAAAAATGGTTAGTTTTGATATAACTAGTCTTTACATTAATATACCAATCAATATGGCCTTAGAAGCAGTTAAAGGAGAACTAACTGCACATCCTGAACTTTCTCATAGGACGAAGCTGCCCATTGAGAAAATTATTTTAGGAATTCAGTTATGCTTCACATCTACTGTCTTTAAATTCCAAGGCGAAATATATAGACAAACAGAAGGTGTAGCGATGGCGTGGATCGCCAATATCCCCTATCGTAGCAAACATATTTATGAACAACTGGGAAAATATTGCGCTTAATACATTTAATCCTACTCCGAAGATAATATGGTGGAGACATGTGGATGACACTTTCACAGTGTTAAAAACAAAACATATCTCTAGCTTCTTGACACATATAAACTCACTAGTAGAGGGAATAAAATTTACATTTGAATCGAAAAATGAACAAGGAGAATTAGCCAGGATGTTAGATTGTAAAATAAAACGAATAGAAAAAGGTAGACTGCACACTAGCATTTACAAAAAGCAATACCAACGCATTCTGCTAATAAATATTTAGACTTTAATTCATCTCATCCGTTAACTGTTAAGGCAGGCTTAGTTAAGCGTTTAACAAACCGAGCAGTAGCAGTAAGTAATACAAAAAAAGACCTAAATGATGAAATGAAACAGATGGAAGAGGCGTTGGTGTTAAATAACTATCCTATAAAATTCATAAAGAAAGGTCAAAAGCAAAATAAAATTAATGGTGAAACTAATAATGATAACATAAATAAGAGAGAATATAAGGCATCTGTGGTAATTTTACCATATAAGGAGGAGATGTCTGAAAGCCTACTTAGGATTCTTAATAAAGCAGCAATTAGGGTGGCATTCAAACCTCCAAACTCGCTGAGGGAAAGGCTCTGTAGGTTAAAGGACCGTATGGGTTAGAGAAAATAATATAATTTACAAAATACCCTGCAATGAATGTGAGTTAAGTCAACTACATCGGTCAGCCAAACTAGTAGATCAGGAGTAGTGAAAATGTCGGAACATAAGAATTTAGCTAAGGTTAGAATGATTGATCACACGAAGATAAGTAATTTAGAAAAACAAAGTCAGCACTACATTGCAATGCATGCATTAACACATAAACACACAGCAGGGTGGTGGGACAGAGTCAAAATTCTAAAAAGTAATATAGATAGGTAGATGGAGAGCGAGAGAGATTGATTACTGAATCCTGCCTTGTTCATCGAGTCTATACCCAACACAACACTTGCAACAGAAATGACTCAATGCAAATACCAGGGATATATATGGAAGATATTATTACCACCAGTCAGTCAAATCAGAGGAGGATAATAAATAATCTCAAAATGTATTCAGTTCACATTCCAACAAGTTATTTATTTATTTTACTATAAAAACGCTCATCTTATTTCTCATCTGATTGTATTTGATTGATAACACTAATATTATTTTCCAATATACTTTATCTTATTTAAGTGTCTAATCATCAATTTTTACTCAAGTATATAAATGAAGAAAAAACGTTGTGTGGGTGACTTGATATGATTATGAGCAGTAATAATTTGTGCTCGAAACATGGTCGCATCAGTTAATATTACTGTATAACAACACTGTGTGTGACTTTATCACAATAAAAATCGTATCCATAACAAAACCCGCTTCATTCAAAAATTTACCTTTAAATTTTTAAGACAACAAAATAAACACCATGGAAGTGTTTGTAAACCACAATTCGATAGATTGATACGTGTAATTATTTGACATGACACACTGTCTAAATACTTCCTGGTAAATGATGGTGAAGGCAATGACACAACAAGCTGACGATTGATACTCTGATACAACACATCAAGAGTGCTGGTGTTATTGTTGTCTTCTGAAGCAATAGAATGCAACAACGAGGATGACGACGACACTGGCAAATTTTCGTCACTGAAGAACAATTTCGATACGCTCTCAATTACTTTAAACCATAACGGTATAACTGGATTAAAATACCAATGGGAATTTGGAATAATTGAAGGATGAAATGGTGCTCTGTTGGCAAGATTCAAACGTCCAGTGGTAATTATATCAGCAAACTTGGAATTTTCATTTGCTCCAACTGATGACCTCCAACTGGACATTTTGCAAAGTGTTATTTTAGGATTTTCATTCAACTTACTGAAGCTTGATGCTTGATTACTTAATAGTAGGCCGGTTAATTTGTGATAGGATTTATTGATTGAATATATTAATAAGTGATTGTTGAAGTCGACAGCACCTGCGTTCAACAGAATCGATGCGATCAGAAGAGAATTCTATGAAAGAAAGAAATTGAACACAAAACACGGTGAAATGAAGTATACATAGATATAGAAATTTCATTTAAAAATAAAACTAGTCACATGAAATACTATTATCATTTCATTTGCTTCCCAGTAGAACATAAGGCTTCAACAGGCCAAGTTAAACTTTAAGCACCACTAACCAACTAACTACCAATGGAGTGCGACCGCACTAATGACCTTGGAACGCTCACTGAGCAAGTAAGCGAGACCTGGCAAATAATGTTGTCATCATCAGTAAAACACGCTTATCGAAGTGTGTTATGCTATTAAATGGGATTTCTGGTAAGTTTCAGGTTAGGTTCGGGAAAGATTAAGTTACTCTTTAAGCCAAGGACAAGTTAAGGTTAGGTTAACCTAATAAAGGCGACATTAGAGTTGGTTCGAGTTAGATTACACTTAGTTTAGGGATATTTTCACGTCTGGATTAAGTTTAGGAAAGATAAGGGTTATTGTTAGGGTTAGAAGACCTGAATAATTACATGCATAGAATGTGGTTAAATTACTCTGTTGACATAAGAATAGAACATGTGCACTGTGGTAGAGTATAATTCCATTGTGAGTAAAATTTATTCTGATAAAGTTTCACAGTGTTATACAGTAATATTTACTGATGACCACGTTTTGAGCACAGTTTATTGCTAAGAAAATATTACTGAATAACACTATGAGACTTCATCAAAATAAATCTTACCCACAATGGAATTTATGCTCTGTTGATACTCCAACCTATAGCTGTGAGCTACTTTTATCACCTGTGAGAGGAAGTGATATCCTCTGTAACACTTTTATACAGTTTTTATGCATTATTTCATAAATATATGTATTCCACGCACAAAAATGCCTCCTTCACGTGACTGGTGCGTTCGAGGTCATTCGCTGATTGGTGGTAGTTAGTGGTGCTTAAAGCTTAACTTCGCCCTTCAATAGATCATTTCCATTTCACATTCTGTTCTCTGCATTCCTCTTCAGCTCGTATCGACAGAAGACAAGGGCCAGGCAACAGATCCTCCGTTGAGAAAATTAACAGATATTTATACATTTTTATGTACATTATTATTCGTTATTACTAACAAAGAGGTTGTTTTCTCACTGGAATTTATTCTGTCATCTCTTTGTGGCTATTTCTTTGAAAGTCAGACCATATATCTGCTAATCGTATCCGCCCCCGCAAAGTATGCTGTGACTGATTGTTGAGTTAGTCTTTGTTCTTGTTCTTTTTTTCTCATGACCAAGATTTGGGACGTAAACACTGACGTCAATTGGTGTCTATCGATTTCGGCTAGCAGACACCTCTCACCACAAGCTCACTCCAAGATTGTCCATAAGCTTTAAACTCCCTCATGTGACCCCCACACTCACACCTAACTTATCCATTTTTCATTCACCAGCCAATCCAAAGACAGCCTGGAGCACCATGTCAGTTAACGGATACCTCAGCATATGTCCGATCCATTTCCATTTTCTACAGCATTCGTCAACAAAAGTGCATCATGTTCTAGTGTGTTCTACTGCGAAGTCATGACCAGTAAGTTAAAGCAGGTCGGGTGTGAAGACAACTCGCCAATGATGACATTGGCTAGTGCCAGTCACAATATTTCGTGAATTGGCAGAAATTAGAATTCATGGGCCTAGTAGTCTACGAGCTCACTAGCCTTGCAATCAGAAGGTACTGAATTCGAACCCCGCTGATGAAGTGGAGTTCAAAACTAGGCTGACTAAACAGCTATGCAGTACCCCCCCCCGCCCTGTGGCTGGTTTTCCAATGGTTGTCTAACCGATGTCGGCTCATAATGAAACACTGTAACCAGAAAATGCATCATATTTTCTTTCTAATTATTATTATTATTATTATTTTTATCCATTCAATTAATGTCCTTGACATGCAAACAGCATACTCAACACACACATTTAATTAGCTGTCATCCAAAAACTCTAGGTGAGCATATCTTCAAGATGAAAGGAAAATGTCATAAGTCTTTGGAGTTTATTATGCTACAAAACTGAATAACCTTGTGTGTCATATGAGATGGCATACACTATAGATTACTCACTATACTTAATTGAAGACCCTAGTTGAAGAACAAAACTATTATGCAAGAAAAAGTATGCTGTAAGGAATACCTGTCTATTGTGTATAAATATTTTTGTCCACAATAAGACTGTTATCATGAGTATTATTTTTCTTAAAAATGGATGATAATAAAAAGTAGGTCGTTTAAGAAAAAAAAACATAGAAAGTTGATTGATCCGCTCAAAATACTTAGAATTAAACTGAAATATCACTTGTCTTCAAGTATTGGTTTTGTAGGAATTTTGTTTGTTTGACTTGTTGGAGGATTTCATCATAAGCCGACATCTGATGTTCATTAGCGACTGGCACTATTCAGGTAGGTAGTTACCTGGGGTTCTAATGGGAAGCTGTGACCAGTAGGATACAGCAGGTCAAAGGTGAGCACAGCTACTCATTGAAGAAGAAGAAGACATTGTGAAGTGGTCGTGCTATATCATGAATTGGCAGAAGTTAGAATTCATGGGATGGCCACATTTGGTCGGATCCCAGTGAGTAGCTTAACGGTTTACGAGCTCGCTCGCCTTGTAATCAGAAGGTTCTGTGTTCGAGCTGATGAAGAGTCCCAAACCAGGACGAAACAGCTGTCCAGTACTCCCTGACTGCCTTTCCAATGGTTTTTTAACCGATATCAGCGCTCATGATGAAATCCTCCAACTAATGAAATCACTTGTGTTAATACACACAATACATACACGATACAGTGATAGATAACACCACCAAACAACTATTTAGACTTATAAGGGAATCAGATGGCAAAAGGCAAATTACAAGTGAAACAATCTCTGAGAAAAATGATACCCTAATTAGCACTCAGGATAGATGACTGGAAGGTTGGAAAGAACACTTTGAGTAGCAGTTTAATTGGTCTACAGCCACGTTCAACCTACTGAGCATCCAACACCTCCGTCCCTAAATGAGGTTACCAGAGCTCTCTCCAATCTGAAACCACACAAAGCAGCGGGAAGTGAAGGAATGACTCCAGAGGTGTTTAAGGACGGTGGAGACAGTTTCCTGTCTGCGTTAACTAGTTGATATCAGTTGTATGCAACTACTCATCTCGACCAATCAGTAGTATACAGTTCTACATAAGTTTATCTGTTTGATGTAGCATATAGTTGTTTTCAGAACTCCATTACCTGAAAAAGGTTTTTCACTCATCAGTCTAGGAGCAGCACGTTTTGTATGAGAGATTATGATGATGGGAGATGGAATGACTCCAGAAGTGTTTAAGGATGATGGAGACACTTTACTATCTGCGTTAACGAAGGTATTAGGCAACGTCTGGGAATCAGAGGAAGTCCCGTCGGGTCGGTGTAAATCACTGATCATCCCGATATACAAGAAGGGGAACAAGTCTTCCTGTGATAATCACAGAGGGATTAGCTTGACTAATATAGTATCTAAAGTTCTAGGCTCAATAATAATGCGTAGACTAAGCGATACACGCGGGAAAAAACATGAGAGAACCAGGCAGGCTTTAGACCAGGAAGAGGGTGTATTGATCACATCGTCACCCTTCGACAGATTCTGTAACATGGGCATACTTACCGTTGATGTCCAACAATCATTATATTTCTTGACCTTAAGGCGGCATTCGATTCTGTCGACCAAGAGGTACTCTGGCGATGCTTGACTGTAAAGGGAATGGCGAAAAAATGCATTGCACTGATCAAGGCACTCTACTCGAACTCATGCAGCCAGGTCAGAGCTTACAGCGAGTTTTCATCTGAACTGGTGACAACTGGTGGTGTCCGTCAGTGATGGATGCCAACTGTCCTCATTTCTATTCAATTTCATTACAGATGTACTAATGGAATTAACCCTAAGTGACTTCAGCGACTCAAGGATTGACTTGTTACAAGGGAATAATCTCGTTGACTTAGAATATGCAGGTGATATAGTCCTTCTAGGTGAAGACTTTGACAAAATCCATCAATCTTCTGAACACCATGAGGAGCAGCAATTTTCGAATGTTTGGCATGTGATCCGCTCATGCTGTCAAATGTAAGATGGTGCTACAGGATTGGACTATATTAAACCCTAGTTCAAAGATGAGGAGTGAAATAGTGGAAAGCGTTGACCGCTTCACTTATTTGGGAAGTTGCATCAGCCCCAACGGGTTGATCGCTGATGAAATCTCAGTGCGGATACAGAAGGCTCGTTTCGCATATGTCCGCCAACTTACGCCATCTCTGACTTAGTAGACGTGGTATCTGACTGTCGACCAAAGAGCATGTGTACTGCTCATCAGTCAGCTCCGTCCTCCTTTATCACTGTGAGTGAGACCTGGCCACTGACAGTGAAAGACATGAAAAGACTAGCTTTCTTTGATCGTAGGTGTCTGCGTTCTATCTCTCGTGTGAAGTGGTATAATAAGGTGAGCAATATTGAGGTTAGGCTTCGGTCAACTGGCTAGGTAAGGAGGGGAAGTCAATCAACGAAGCTGTGAAGCTACATCGGCTGAGATGGTTAAGACATGTGTTACGTGTGCCTAGCCATTGTCTTCCTCGAGTGACGGGCAATTTTAGCTGACATAGGGTTAGGTTGGAAAAGAGCCACTGGCTTCACCAGTCAATGAAATCCACAACAGTTAGTCTAGGCTACGTAGGAAGGTGTAGACTTCCTAGGAGTTTTTTCAGTTTCTTTCGTCCACTATCAATAGCTATCAAACAGAGAACTCTAGACAAATCACTAAGACGGCATTAAAGATGGTATGCCGTAGTGATGATCTGTGGATATATTCCTGCCTAATATTGGAATTAATAACATGGTATCGTTACATAGTGCACGTTGAACATCAAGGAGGTGTCGCCTTATTTTTGGGAGATTTCGGTTCACGTGCACTTATCATAGCCTCGCATACTAATTTTCGGTGATCAGATTAACCCTATAATAACAACAGTTTCGTAACTGGAATATGTTGTCTTAGCTTCGTGTATATACGTCACTATAAATTTCATCTGTGAAACCTTCTTCAATTTAAGATAGATAGTGAGGTGGTGGAGTGGGCTAACCACTTCATTCATTTTGGAAATCGCATCAGCCCCAACGGAATGATTGTTGCTGACGAAATCTCAGCACGAATACAGAAGGCTCATGTGGTGTTTCACTTAAACATCTCTGGTATAGATATCCAGTGATGATATCCAGTTATCGGTCAAAGAACGTGTGTACTGCAAAGAACCAGTTCGCTCCGTCCTCCTTTATGGCTGTGACAAATGCCTAGTGATGAAAAGGATAGCTGTCTTTGATTATACAAGTGTGTTACACCCAGAACCGAAGGGAATAATGATAAATGAAAATAATAATATATGGATGTATATATAAATATGTTTCTTCCGTCGACTTACAGCCTCATCAGCTTCATATAAACAACATGCTAAACCAAGTGGTGTTGTCATAAACGATTGTAATGATGAAGTTTTAGAATCCATCGCATAGCTTTCAGTAAGATCAAATTCTGGAGATGTAGAATTGGAAGATGGTGATGATGATGAAGATGGGATTTTCGATGTATTCTCCTCTTGAGTATAACAATGACCATGGATACATGAACTACAGGATGAATTCACCTCTTGTTTAAGATAATTTACTAAAAGTGACACCAATTTACAGTTTCTAGAAAAGTAAAGTAAAGAAAAATGTTTGTTTGAAGATTTTTAACATTCTATTTAGTTTAATAAAGGGATTTCAATGATTAGATTTTTGTCAGAAACCAGTATCAGTCCGAAAAAGATCATTGAAAACCAGAGACCACTGGACAACTAGTTGTTTCGTCCTAGTTTGGAACTCTTCACCGGTACACACCTATGATTCCGCTAGGGATCGATCAAACACAACCCAAGCGACTGAATAGTCAACGAGCTTAGGCTCATAATCTGAAGGTCCTGGATTCGATTCTTGGCGGGGTAGTGGGTGCGCACTACTGAAGCCAAAAGGGCGAAACAGCTGTCCAGGCCTCTTTAGGGGTTTTCAATGATCTCTCAAACTGATGTTACTTCATGAGGAAAAAAAATAACAACTGAAATTAATCCAAAATCCCCTCAAATCTTGTATCCGTGATATAGCGCTACTTTCAAACAATGCCTTTGATAAGCCACTCACTGCGTCTTGATATGATGGCCGCTTGATTGAACTGGAGTGGGAAAAACTATGTAGTAATACTTATAATTCACTTGGTCTTATGAGACTAGTTATATTGTCAAAAGTTAATTTGTAAGGATTAGATTTGTTTCTCGAGTTTGACGATGGACTGATATCAGTTAGACAATCATTGAAAACCAGATGGGGGAGTACTAAACAACTGTCTCATCCTAGTTTGGGAATCATCGACAGTACACACCCACCGTCAGGGTTCGAACCCAGGACCTTTGGGTTCCAAGGCAAGCTCGTAGATCATTCAGCCACTGGGACCCAACAGATCCAATGGCCAGCCCATGAATTCTAACTTCTACCAATTCGTGATTTTAGCAGATGACATTGGTTGGTGGTTGCGCTAATATCATAAACTGTTAGAATTCATGGCCTACCCATTGAATTGGGTCCGAGTGGCTGAATGGTATATGAGCTCGCCTTGTAACCAGAAGGTCCTGAGTTCGAACCCTGGCTGTGGATGCGTACTGCCGATGATTCCCAAACTAGGATGAAACGGTTGTTTAGTACTAACTCCCCCAGCTGGTTTTCAATGATTCTCTAACTGATATCAATCAATGGAAAAACTGGAAAAATTAGTTATATTAGCCGTATATAGCGTATACTTTCCAAATGTATCACTTAACATTATCCGACATGTTTATCAAGAGAACAAGGCAAGACAACTTCTTGATCAATCCATCAACACCTAGTGAACTCAGGCCATTCAGCTTGACAAGAGTTGTCTTTCAGAATTATCTACAAAGTGAGACAAAAATGGTACTAGGGGTCTTAAGGGTTCCAGCATTTGTGTATAGCGGATGTGCTAGCGACTATCAGTATGACACAAAATTTTGTGTGTGCTGAAAAGATTTGTTCAGTCTCTTATTCCACAATGGTCTTAAACTCTTTCCTACTCGTTCATTTGTACTTTTAGTAAATGGCTTCAGAAGCAAATAGAATCCCTAGAACCTATTAAGGGTGAGAATAGACGACCTAGCCCCTCTATTGCGAAACATATTATAGAGACAGGATATAAAACTGATGTTCACACGTCTTTCGAGCCCATCTTTAAGACGTGCTTGGAGTTTGTTTGTGGAAGTTTGTGGAAGCCCTAGCTAGCAATTAGGAATTTTAAACCACCTTTATGCGCTCAAAAACAATTCGTCATCATATTAAACCTTCCTTGGTAAACTTAGTTTTGATACTATAGCAGATGTACTATTACCTCTCTTATTTGGTTTAGTGATGTTCATTGTTATTTTCACCTTCAATACATCCTTTTAACTTGACTTAAATTTATTTTATCACCTGTTAACTCTATTAATATCATATGTATACCTATGACAAGTCTGCTAGCCTAACTGACCTCGTTCTACGACTAGTAATTTGACCTATCTATACATTTGACCTAACACTCATTTCAGCAGGGTATTAGATAAACTAAGCTGTTTCGCTTAATGAGCTCCACATGATCCTTCAGACGAAATAGTTTGTTTCTAAGTGAGTTTATGAATTTGAACATCGCTTTTAATCCTGCATTGTTAAGAATTCAACACAGGGCTTCCGAGGTCGCTTCTTTGTATGGAAGCATTAATGATGTCTTAAGTTTCGTCTCGATGGTTCTCAAACTGATGACAATCTGTGGTCAAACTTTAAGAAATAAAACAGCCTAACCTTAACTCTAAACCTAACCCTTATGTTAACCTACACCCTGACATCAATTCTAACCGTAACTCTAGCGTTCTATCAATCCATTTTTCTAATAGTACTTATTAACAAGATCGGGATAAAGCTTGCACCTCAATTCATGCAAAGTCTTCATAGTGGCGTTGTGATAAATGGCAGATCCTGTAATCCAAAGAACGGTATGTGTTCAAGAACACAAGTGCGTTCGCACCCCTTGGTCGCTATTCTTTAACTTAGCCCCACGATGCACATTTCACCCGATTTAGGACTCGTCATCCGGATTAACCTGGCTCTCTTGGTGAGTAAGTGGTATTCGCGCTGATACTCACGCTCTGCGTCTATCGTTTTAAACGCCAAAGCTCTATACACTAAACGAATCATACCGCAAACAAATAATACCTGATACTTTTCGTACAAAAGGTGGGATCTTGTGGCTCAAGATATGACGCTTTAGCGTTGAAACAAAAATGAGTGTAGGGCTCGAGTTTCAGCGGTTAGGAATATCACCACTCAAACAACTGGTGAATGAGTCGATAGAATACTAGCCAGATTCGACCCTCAGCCAACTCACCCCTCCCCCCCCCCAAAAAAGAGGTGAGGTTCAGCGTGGGGCGATATCAACCAGCCCCCCCCCCCCAACCGACGGTAACTAACATTGTGGCGTATCCTACTGACAAGATTTATCAGTAGTATGTAGATGCAAATTGATATGAAGTAGCCAAAATTGAAAATAACATTTTACGTCAGTAGCTACAGAAGTAGAAGCGTTTATTTCTCGACTCTGGGCCTAGCCTACGCGCTGTGGTCAAGATAAAATCTCGAGGTTTAAGCTTCAGAAAATCATCAACCAATCAGAATACGTTTAACCTTCAGAAAGTCAGCAACCAATCAGAACACGTTTGACCTTCAGAAAATCAACAACCAATCAGAACCGTCTATTAACAGCTGATCATAAATGTGGCTAAAAATGTACAAAAATGGTGTCTTTTCCTTAATAAAAGAAGTCCGTTACCAAGTCTGTTGTCTGCATCCATTACAACATCACCACCAACACCACTCCAAACATTCAACTACTTGGAATGCTGCAAGGAATAAAACAAACAAACAAAAGATAACAACCACTCTTACCCCGTCATAACAGAAAGTTGTAAAGCATTGAAATATCCACAAACAGCATATCCTCCTTCCAAGCTTTGATGACATCGTGGATTCAGAATAAGCATAGGTCGATTGTAGCCATCTGATGCAGAACTACTCCTACTATCACTATCATTATTATTATTATCAGTGTTATTTCCGACAGATGGAGATTTGAAATACCAACAAGCTGATATCTTCCGATGTATATCAATCGGACAAACATCAGCATAGATGATGACGCTAGAACAGTGATCAGGATCAGATGAAGATCGTTGAATGATATCATTATCTTGTTGATTAGATTTATCTGACTTATCATTATTAGGAGGTTGACTGCTCGTCTCTTGCATACGTTGAACACGCTCTGTTTGACTTGTTATTCGCATGGCTTTCATTTTCAATGTTAATAATTCATGCACAATATTCACTTGTCCATGGATAACGCCTAACAGGAAAGCGGTCATGTGATGACAGTCAAGTTGATCAATACTAAAAAAGTAGAAAAAAGCGAAAAATAACATGCTATGAACTGCTAACTTCTTCTATTGGTTATCTGATTAGTGGTTAAATTAGAGGGATCGATAAAGAAGACTCTAGACAACATGGACTTCATCGACAATTTATGTTTTGATATTGAATAAATTCGAAGACTTACAGGAGAAAACCGACAAGTTGGCAGGAGAAGCAAGCAGCGAAGACACAACTTCAAGGAGGTATAGAGAAGACGGAGGTGAAGAAGATTACCAACCAATCAAATAAAACAAACAATAAGCACCAATCACTATCAGCGGGCGAAATTCGAAGTAGGTTACTACTTCCTTCATCCATCTAAGGAGCATCGTCTCAACTACATGCGGTAGCACGGATGACGATGTCAAAACCAGGAGTGGAAAAGCAGCACAGACCTCCATTAACCCAGAAAGTCAATTCTTTTATATGGGTCAGAAAATAATAAGTACAGTTCACTACTGATAATCATATCACTTCATTCATTGGACTTTATAATTTGCCGTACATACTTTTACTCTCTTTCTTCTTGTTTTTCACTGCGATTTCCCATAGATCCGGTTACTATCTATCTGGTGTCCAATTACAGTCCTACACGAGGTCGGTCGCAAACCCGAATAGTCCAGTGCTTTAACGTCTCTGGCTACAACTCTAGGTGACTCTGGATTAGAATCTCAGAAGGGACATAAGAATTCAACTCTACACCAAACCAAACGAAGGACTAGACTAGACTAGCCTACTCTACCTAGTGTCGAATCAAAGTAGTCTGTTGTCTTTGTCAAGAAAAAGAAAGTTTATCGATTAAATTTATTGAAAATAGAACAACTAAAATTAAAACTGTTTAAAAATGCCCATTAAAAATTTTTCCAAAAGAATGGATACTGAACAGAGAGTACTCTTTTCGATAACCTGCTCTTCATCAGGCTCTACAGCTATAGATAAATTATAGTGAATGAATGAATGAATTAGTGTTATTAACAACATTAATATCGTTGTTTAAATAACATCGAATCAATATTATTGATAGATTACAGCTCAGTAGCATCAACATAAAATAAGCTAAATGTCAGAAAAATTAGGAAAGATGATAATAATACAAATTCATGAGTTTATAGTCTCTACTGAAAGCCTGACAGGGCAGTAGTGGCGGTTGGACTTGCTTCTTTTGAACATAGAGCACTGGTTGTTTGAGGCGAATTGCAATAGCCTCTGTTGTTTAGAGCATGCAGTGCTTCGATGATTTTAGCAATTTATTAGGCACCCGGTAGATGATGATAGAGAAAGATTTTTCCACACTGGCTTTGTTGCTGGTTTGCACCAGATGGTCCAATAGCGAACTGTTAATGGTTTTCACTATTCCGATCAGAGACTTGGCGCACCATAAAGAGCATCTCAAACAAACTACAAACCTTCATTAACAGTTGTCTTCGCTCAATACTCAAGATCAGATGACCAGAAAAGATCAGAAACAGAGAGGGACCTCTGGCAATGAGCGAACCAACACAGCAGGAACCGATTGTGAAATAAATAGGCAGGAAGAAATGGAGATGGATTGGCCATACTCTTAGGAAACCATCAAGTGACATCACTAGACAAGCCATTGCTCGAGTGGAACCCGAAAGGGAAGCGGCGAGTTGGTCGTCCAAGGGTGACATGGAGGAGGTCATGTGAAGAGGAGATGAAAACGTGTGCGCAGACATGGAGCCAGATGAAGACTCTAGCAGAGAACAGAACGCAATGGAGACGCACGGCTCAAGCCCTATGTTCCTGTAGGAATTAAAGGATATAATAATAATAATAATAATAATGGTTTTCACTACACCTTTACTTAGCCTCAGTAGATGTTCTCGAGTGAGCACGAAAAATCAAGCTCCTAGAGCATCGGCCACTTCAAATTGTATCTACCAGTTCAACTGAGCTTGTGGTGGAGCGAGTTATATTGGCCGTTGCTCTAGGAACTTGATTTTTTGTTCTCGGTCGAGAACATCTCCCACTATGGCTAAGTAAAGATGTAGTAAAAGCCATCAACATTTCGATATTAGATCACCTGGTCCAAAGCAACTGGCCACAAAGCCAGCCATCTTTGACGAATCCTTCTCTATCATCATCTACCGGCTACCGAATAAATTGCTAAAATCATCGAAGCACTGCATGCTCTAAACAACAGAGGCTATTGCAATTCGCCTCAAACAACCAGTGCTCTGTGTTCAAAAGAAGCAAGTCCAACCGCCACTACTGCCCTGTCAGGCTTTCAGTAGAGACTATAAACTCATGAATTTGTATTATTATCCTTTCCTAATTTTTCTGACATTTAGCTTATTTTATGTTGATGCTACTGAGCTGTAATTTATCAATAATATTGATTCGATGTTATTTAAACAACGATATTAATGTTGTTAATAACACTAATTCATTCATTCATTCACTATAATGTATCTATAACTGTAGAGCCTGATGATGAAGGCGTTTTCGAAAAGAGTACTCTTTGTTCAGTATCCATTCTTTTGAAAAAAAAATCAAAACAGTAGGAAAGATGGGGGGGGAGGGTTAGGGGCTAGAAGTTAACTCACCAATAATAATATTTGTATAAAGCTGGTGATCCATCTGTCATTCGACAAGAAAATAATCCACAACAATCTTCACTTGCCAGACAAGGAATATTTCCATCAAAATCTCTCTCGGTCATAACATCAACTGGACAATTTTGAGTAGTTGATAACAATAATTGTAAGCATTTGAAACGACCAAAAGCGCAAGCAATGTGTATAGGTAGAATACCCATTTCACCACCGGCTAACAGAACATTCATTGCTCCAGGATCCCACTAGTTAGTTAGTTGTGTAAAGTGTTTTTTTTTTATTAAAAAAAAGAGAGAGAAAAATATCCAGAAAAAGAATGGTAGTGTTACTTACTATTCATGCCACAAAAGAAAATAACCCCAGTTAGAATAATCATAACGATATTAATAATAATAATAATAATAATAATAATAATAATGTCACAAATATATACTGTAACAACAGAAGACAAGGGTCAGGCAACACAGATCGTTTATTAAGCAAAATCAACACATATTTATAGATTTCAATGTACATTATTGTAGATTATTGTTAGTAGAAAATAAAGCCTTTTGATTGGTTGTTTCTCACAGAAAGTTAACCTTGCATCTCTTTGTGGCTGTGTCAGATCATCCATTTGCTAACCTGTATCCGTCTACGCAAAGTCTGCTGTGGTCAGTTTTGAATCAGTCTTTGTTCATATTTTCTCACGACAAATCTCGAGAACGTAAACATTGACGAAACTTACTGTCTACCAATTTGGCTAGTAGACAGCTCTCTCACCACAATACCACATGAAACGACTTATTTCGGCCTAGTATCTCAGCTGAGATAACACCAGACTGATAGGAAGAGAAGTCATCATGGATCCGGATGTTCTTCACAAGATGAATAAGTACGCAGAAGTCTTCGCAGACTTATACGCCTTAAGTGATTTAGCAATTGTAGGCAGCATGTACTAGCACAATCACATGCATGAAGAGAAGCAGATTTCACCACCAGATGGACACATCAATACTCAGAATTCATCTTAGTACTGCTCAAGAAGGTGGAGACGCAGCCTGCTGTACACGAAATCAAGGAGAGCAGATGCGCACTCAGACCATTGATCACCTAGTTCAAGGAACCTACAACATCAAGCTGAAAGCTTTCAAAACAACAGGAGATAGACAGCAATTCAAGTCTAATACTAACCTGCATGGAAAAATACTGGGACTCTCTGAAGGTGATGTTTAAGGGAATATATACAACAGATTTAGAAAGGAAGAAGAGGCAAGAAAAGGAATGGCTCTCAACGGATACCTGGAAGCTAAGAGAAGAGGAGAGAATGGTGAAACAGAAAATGAAGCAATGCAAAGATGGACAGCAGAAGTGAAGAAGTGTTAGGAAAGACAAAAGAAAATTCCACGACACACTAGCAACTGAAGCAGGACAGGAGGGCTGCAGGTAAAACATACATCGGAACGGTATATCAAATAACCAGGTCTCTATCCGAGAAGAGATCAACGCAGATGAAACCTATGAAAGATGGTCAAGGGAACCCATATTATTCAAGTGTTGGTTTGTAGGGATTTGATTTGATTGGTTACAGGATTTTATCACAAGCTAACATCTGTTTGAAAACCACTGGAAAACCTGACAGTACTAGACAGGTGTTTCGTCCTAGTTAGGGACTCTTCGTTAGAGCGCACCCGCCACCATGATTCGAGCCCAGGACCTGCCGGCTACAAGAACCAAATTAGCAAAGAGGACAGACAAATAAAACAATGGGCTGATCACTCCAAAGAAGTCCTTAGTCGGCCACCGCCTGCAAGTCATCCAGAAATACCAACAACAACAACAGCACACAGAACTGCAAGTGGACACCGATCCTCTAGCAAAAACAGAAATCCTGAATGCGATCAAGCTACTAAAGTCCAGGAAGACAGATGGACCAGATGAAATTCCCCCACTTTGAAACACTGAGAACGGACTCAGAGACTGCAACAGATATGCTTACGTCACTATTGCGAAATGTTTGCAAGGAAAGAAAAGTACCTACTGATTCGCATTCATCCTTCCACTTTTGTAAGGAACACTGCACCGCGTGAAGGCAACAAAAATAGAAAGTAATGTATATAGAATTAAAAGCTGTAAAGTTGAAAAAAAAAATCAAAAACACCAACCAACCAATCAATCAACACTGTCTTACCTGAATTATTGCTTCTACTGCCTCCTGATAGCCTAAACGTACAGCAACATGAATAGCACTATCCTCATTTGAAGCTAACACAGATTCAATCCATAATTGTTGTCTGCGTACACAAGTGGTCTTTTCAACTAAAACTTTTAAATCATTCACAAAGGATGAACAGTTAGAAGTGTACAAATCATTATTGTATTTCTTATCAATATGGAATTCTCCGTTACCGGATTCTGATGATCGAGGCGGCGGTAGAGACAATGCAGATAAGATAGAAGCAGAAGAAGCAGCAGTTATTGGGATTACTTGAAAACCGAGTTTTAACAATTTTATAAGACACTGTATGAAATTGTTTTTTACACATCTGAAAGAAAAAAAAAAAGAAGAGTAATTCATTAATACGCCCAAGTATTTAATGCGTCTCTGGTCTGGATTCAACATAGAACTTGGCACCGAAGTGCAGCAGCTCGAGTTGCCATGTTCCAAATAGCGCACAAAGGTAGACAAGAAAATGAGTGAAGGGAATAAAGAATAGAGTTTTGACAAGTATAAGAGTGAAACAGAATGAGTAATGGTAGAAAGGAATATGAAAGATTACAGAGACTGAATACATCTGCGTAAGCCATTGACAACGATTTTGAGCCATGTCACCTATTGTCTCCAGCCATTGATTCTTAGAGTCCTGAGGGCGGGCCCCAACCCGGAAGTCTGCATCTTCCTCCCTACCTGACTCAGTTTAACTGTCAAGGATTTCATGGATTGACGCATTTAATGCATCAGTGGTTCAGCGGTTGAATACACGCCAACCACGCCTCACTCGATCCGGGGTTCAACCCCCGGACGAAAGCGCACTCCTATACCTCGCTTAACTCGATTGAAAGAAGAAAGCTTGGGCCAGAGTGAGGCTAGCAGCAACCCCACTCCCTTAAAAAAGAATAATACCACTGTTACTCAAATACCAAATCTCAAGCTTGAAGCCCTATGCTCCACTCGTAATACAAAGAAGAAAAAAATAAAAAATAAATAGTAAATCGTAGTATTTGTTTGATAGTGGCTAGCAGTAGAATGCAACACAAGCAATTCGTCCGATTTGGGCGCCGTCATCTGGAGGATTTACTTGCATCTCAAACAAAGACTCAAACTCAATATTATTTATTTATTTATTTAAACGCAGAAAAAAACTTGGTACCAAGAAAGATGCGCCACACAATAACAATAAAACAACATACATCAAAAAGTAAAAATATAAGTAGAAAACGGATAAAGAACTTCATCTGGAAAGAAAACAGTCATGTTCAACAAGTTCAAACAGTATTCGTCAACCATCATTGGGAAGGGAAGAAAGAAGGAAATTGCAACACGTTCGCCATTGATTACGATTCTTGGCCATATCCGATAACGTTTCGAGCCATCGATTCGGGCTATCTCGCGGACCCCAACCAGGGAGTCGTGACGCACCAACCGATGCTAATCTAGCACAAATATCCTTCATCCCACGACTCCACGTCATGGACTGACCACCCCTCCGCCTTTTCCATACCGTCCCAGGGTGGCTAGCGAACAGAGACCTGTACGGAAGCCTCTGGGATGACATTCGCAGCACATGTCCAAGCCACCAAAGCCGGTATTTCCAGATGACGACACTCAATGAATGGTGATCTCCACTGTGTTCAAACACACGCCGCCGAACCTCAGAATTACTCACACGACAATGCTATCGAACGCAAGAAATCCTGCTGAGACAGCGATAATTGAACACGCAGAGTCGCCTCACATCCTCAGCTCGGAGAGGCCAGGTTTCACAGGCGTAGAGCATGACAGCCTGCACCGAAGCATTGTATACCCGACCTTTGACAGCCAGGCTAACGTCGCGACGGCGCCAGAGGTGGCTCAAGTTGATGTATGCCACCCTAGCCTTCATTATACGGTTGGAAATCTCATCCGTCACCCCTCTGCCAGCACTCACACAACTACCCAGATACACAAATTTATCAACAACTTCAAGCGGTTCACCCGCAAGAGTGAGTGTAGGTACAGGCTCCTGCCAATCTTGTAACAGTACTTTGCACTTAAACGGCGCAAAGTACATACCATACTCAATATCCAAAGCGTTCACTAACTACTAGGCTGCTGGGCTATGCGAGAGAGCCAACTGTTATGCAATGGGTGTCAGTTGTTATTCTCCTGAGGTTTTCTTCCCTTTAAGTTCCTCGTCGCTTGTTTGTTTTGGGAATCTCTGGCATCTCCCGTTTTGATTGATTATGTTCGGTTTTTGTTGACACTCATGACACTTGTGGTCTAGCGGGTAGTAGTGCTTTTGAATATGAAACGATGAGTTCTAAGTCCGAGTTACAGTAGGGATACCACTCACTCACTCACTGGGATTGCAAGTACATCCAGATGAAGAGTCCTAAACAGGACGAAACGTGAATCCTGGATTCCACTGTAGTCATCACCAACCAAAACAAATTCACATTAATTCTGAGATATAATCAAAGAGTCCATACTAGGAGCGCGTAAGAGTCAACAGAAACACTGAGCATTCCAGCCCAACATAATGAACCAACAGGAATTCATATTAACCTAAACACACAAATGATAATCGATACCCGTTACACAAGATATGGCTATCGTGATCCTCCTGACCTAATGGATACGGCTTTAGTGTTTGAAACAATTGGCTCTGGCTTAGAGTATCAGTGGGAATATTATAGCTCTCTAAGTGATGTAGGTACATCCAGCTGACGAGTCCCTCCAAAAAGGGGAGAAATGCACATCCGGGATTCCACTACTGGTGGCTATCAACCGAAATAGAGTCTCGTTGATTAATTTCACTTGACCAGTTTAGTGGATATGGGAAATCAAAAAACGTGAATGCATCTGCACCACGGAGAACAATTTTGAACCATATCACCATCGGTCTCGAGCGATTGGTTCTTAGAATCCTGAGAACCCCAATGAAGCAGTCTACACCTCCCAACATGGGTGGCTGAAACCAACTGTCAAATACCTTATGGAGTGATACCAGCTAATATTGCCCATCTGCGAAGATGGTGGCTTGGCATGCCATCTCAATCGATATAGCTACACAACTTCAATGATAGGCTAACTCTCCTTACCTAACATTCTGTGCATAACCTCAATGCTAGTCAATATCGTTACATGACTTAACATGGGAGATAGAACACAAACACCTATAGTCATAAGTGTTGATCAGCAAACCAGAGGAGATGATGACGTAAGCTGACATACGCCACATGAACCTTTTGTATCCGTGCAGAGAGACTTCTACAGAATTAGACGCTCTAGACTGTGAACATAAGTGTTATCAGATGTTCATCTACTCTAGAGATGTTGACAGTAACACAAATACACAAAATATTTTCATATTACAACCACAAAATAAATTGTAACTATTGTGAAAAACATTACATTGTTCAAAGTGAACTCCCTCTTCGTCTTCGCATTCATGAACATAAACTGGCCGTCAAAAGACACTACATCCACTCCCTCAAATCAAAGCATGCAGACAACCACAGACACCAACTTGATTGGGATAATATTCAAATTGTTGACAAAAGAAACATCAACAAGGCCTGAGAATTCTTAGGAGCCTGGTTTTCAAGTAAATTAGCAATCAACAGACACACCTTGACACATTATTATTATTATTGTTTCCTTTAATTCCTAGACGAACATAGGGCTTCAGCCACCCGTCTTCATTGCGTTTGGCTCTCTGCTAACGTTTTCACCTGGCTCCAAGTCTGCCCACACGTTTTCATCTCCTCTTCACATGACCTCCTCCAAGTCACCCTTGCACTGACGACCAACTCGCCGCTTCTCTTTCAGGTTCCACTCAACGGCTAGTCTAGTGATGTCACTTGATGGTTTCCTCAGAGTATGGCCAGCCAATCCACCTCCATTTCTTCCTGCCTATTTGTTGCACAATCGGTTCCTGCTGTGTTGGTTCGCTCATTGCCAGAGATCCCTGTTGCTGATCTTTTCTGGCTGGCCATCTGATCTTGAGTATTGAGCGAAGACAGCTAGCTGTTGTTGATGGATTGTAGTTTATTTGAGGTGCTCTTCATGACGCGGTGCCAACTCTCTGATCCTTATATAGTAGCACTGACTGACTTCACATTGGAGTCGAAAATCCGGGTCTTATTTTCATTTTTGATGCTGAGTGCTGTTGACCTCCACACGGACTTGAGAGTAATGAAAGCTTGACTTGCTTTTCCGATTCTTGCTTTGATATCCTCATCAGTTCCGTCCACCGGTAGTTGACACGATGCTTACCAGGTAAGTAAAAGAGGTTGTTTCTTTCAGGTTCCTCCCATTTATGCTGATTTTTGTCTGTTGTTGTTGTTCTTGTCCAGGAATCTTCATCACCTCTGTTTTCTCTACGTTCACCTGAAGTCCTATCTTTGATGCTTCTTCTGCCAACTTGTTGGTTTTCACTTGCATATCTTCCAGTTTGTAGGAAATCAGCCTTGACACATTAGGCAAGATTTACCAATCCATAAGGAGGAAATCACATGAACAAAAGATCGACTTCCAGGTCAAGAAAATAATCAATACTAATGTAACGAGAGACGACAAGGGCCAGGTAACAGATCGTTTATTGAGAAAATCAGGAGATATTTTTAGATTTTTAAGTTCATTTTTATTAGCGTTATTGTTAGCAGAGAAGCAACATCTTCTGATTGGCTGTTTTCTTGCTCAAGGTTATTCTGTAGTGCTTGTGACCGACCATTTCTTAGAAAGTTAAGCCATATATCTGCGAGTCCTATTCGTACACGTTAAGTCTGCTGTGATTGGTTGGTGAGTTCCTCAAGGTTAAGCTTTGTTATAGTTTTTTCTCATGACCCCGATTCGGGACGTAAAAATTGGCGTAAACTGTTGTCTATAATTTTGGCTTGCAGACAGCTCTCACCACACTAATACAAGTTGACCAGAGAGAGGGTGAGTAAATGCACGAAAACAACCAATCATGATGCAGATTACTACGACAAATGATTAATAAACTCGTGGAGAATTTTTAAAAGGTTAACTTCATCAAAATGAAGTATACGCTGAGAATTTTGTCTAGTAAGACGACAATGAAAGCTTTGCAGGTCATAAAACGCAACACAAAACTAAAAAGAAATATAAAATCAACACTTACATCACTAGGAGAGGTTTCAGTTGACTTGCTGTCCATTCTAAAATATTATTTAAGGGTAATGGTATTGAATTTGTCTCCGTATCCAAATGGAAACCTGTATCGGACAATAAGACCGCTGATGTACTACTCCGGTGTTGTTCAGATTGTTCTTGACCATCTGTTATATCAGATGATGTTGATCTACGTCCACTGAATGCTAAACTTCTCAGTCTATTCGATATTAAAGTAATAATCGGTGGTTGGTGTGAATCTTTATCCTGCTTAGTATCATTATTATTACCATTATTATTATTATTACTGGATAAGGACTGTAGATTGGACGACTGTGTTCTCCGGCTGGGAGAAGTATTCTCATAAAATTCTCTACTAACAAGCCTTTTTAGAGTACAATGAATACGTAAATTTGATGGTAATAATTGTTCCAGTGAATTGATGTCCCCATTTTCACAAGCTTTTACGATATCTGTAACAGTGGATGAGGAAGGGAGAGAAAAGGTACAATTAAAGAGAGAATAAAAAATTTCAAGAATTGTTAATTCCATATATTAGTTTGTTTATTAGATGTATCACACATTGTGAGTGAAACAGCAGTATTATTTTCTGGATGACAAGGTTTCGAAAACAATTTATTCATTGTTCATAATCATTTCATCAATTATAATCACACGACTTCCAAACTTGAATTTTATAGTTTTCTTTGTCCTCTCCTATTAGTCATCGTAGGAGTAGTAGAATTTTCCAGATGTCTGCGTGGACAGGTGTAGAATCATTCCTATTACATGTATTCTCAGTTGATTCGATAAACAAAGCTTCTGTTTCAATCTCTCCCTTCACCATACTGTTATATTAGATTTTAAAACTGTCATCCTATCCCATCCGATCATATTGTACGGTTGTGTGTAATTGCATGTGGTGTAGTGCTATAGGTGAACTGTTCTCTAGATTTCTTATCTTATTCGGGTCAACCAATCTAGATTTTGCTAAGTTTTTATGCCCAGCTAGTCTGACTGCACCTGTTCTACTACTTTGACCTATGTATTTGACCTGACAATCATTGCAGGTAGGGTATCAGATAAACTAAACTGTTTTGTTTTAAAGGCTCTAAAGGATTGATCCTTTAACCGACAAAGCTTGTTTCTAATTGAGTTTGTAGGTTTGAATACCAATTTTATTCCTGCCTTGTTAAGAATTCTGAGTAAGGTTGTATGGAATTACTACTGATGATTTAGATTACTTATTGTTGAGTCATTGAATGACTCATTATTGGACAAATTTCCAAAAACAAGTGATGTTTCTTTTTATATATAAACCTATGTTATGTTAATTTCGATTAATTTCCCTGAAGAAGTTCGGACCAAATTGCCGAACGAAACGTTGGAATTACTCATTTCAATCTCGCTGAGACTTTACAAATATAATCTTTTACAAATGTCTACTTCTCACTCGGCGCCCAAATATTTTAGAACTATTCTGTCAAATCTTGACGACAGTTCATTTGAATTACTATTATTATTATTATCACTACTATCATTATTTATTTTATTTTTACATTTCCCTGCACACTTTGTGACTAATTTATCAGGGTAATTATTAAGTTTCAAAGCTTCTTTTATATACCTCACTTCCTGTCTTAGATTTCCCTTGCTACTACTTAGTTTTTGTGCTCTGTCACTTAAACATTTCACCAATCCTATTTTTAGTGACATAGGATGGGATGATCGGAAATCCAAATATCTGTTTGACTGTGGGTTTCCTGTAAACACACTAGTGTGTTTAACTTCGCATCTTCTTTCTTTTTTACTCTGCAATCTAACATTGGAAGCTCCCCTTCCTGACTTTCTAATTCATAAGTGAATTGAATTGCCTCCACCTTTGAGATAATATGTTCGAAAAATCTGTCTATATCCTATATCTTAAACCTAGCAAAATCTAGATTGGTTGACCCAAATAAGATAAGAAATCTAGAGAATAGTTCAGCTATAGCATTAACTACATGCAATTACACATAACCATACAATACGATGGGATAGGAAGACAGTTTTCAAATCTAATGTAACAGCAGAGTGGAGGGAGAGATTGATAACAGAAGCTTTGTTTATCGAGTCAACTACAAATACATGTAATAGGAGTGATTCATCACCTGTCCCCGATATTTGGAAAATTCTACTACCTCTACGACAAATAGGAGAGGACAAAGAGAACTATAGAACTTAAGTTTCGAGGTTGTGTGATTATAATTGGTGAGATGATTATGAACAATGAATGAATTGTGTTGGAAACTGTGTCATCCAGTAAATAATAATACTGTTTCACTCACTGTGTGTGATACATCTAATAAGCAAACTAATATGGAATTACTTACTACCACAGTGCCCAAGTTTTACACATATCTTTTCAAGAATTGGTTTGTAGGGATTTGATTTCTTTCAAGTTTGACCCCAGAGATTAATATCATTTAGAGAACTATTGAAAACCAGTGGAGGAGTACTGAATAGCTGTTTCGTCCCGGTTTGGGAATCTTCGGCAGCAGAAAAAGAAAAAATAAGAGTTGTACAGATCTAAATTATAAAAAAAATGTTTTTGCTCCTACCATCTAAAAGCCTGTTCAGCTTCTTGTCAAGATGCTACCTATTGGGCCCTACAGAAATTCGTGAGGCATCTTACAGGTGAGCTTGTCCTACGGGTTTTAATCTTCCAGATCTTTGAATTCACTCCTCACTTAAATATCACTTACCTATCTCACAATAATCTTTTTATTTACGCACTATTATACTCTATCTTTACTACCTAGGCCTTTATTAAAGCTAAAACTTACTCTTTGTTCACATTTTTGCTTGCTTAAAGTCTGGTTGCTTTGATTAAAAACACAAAAACGCCAATGTTTGAACAAAGCTATATTTTCATCGGAAACGTGATAGTTTCCATGCTTAGACCGATAAGGTTAGCATTAAACATTGCAAATGTATACTATCATTCCAAGAAGTCTCCACCTCCTTCTTGCATATATCTTGTAGATGTACTTCCAATGATGTATTATCCATAATTACATTTTATACCATTTTGCAGCTGCCCAGAACGTTCTTCTCTTCCTGAAATAGCGTCCAATCACGTGGGGGTATAGCACTCACCCAAATATATGTTGTTTATCGACTAGCCAAAACTATGAGTAGGAAACGGAACGAAGTTTGGGTGGTCGCTCAACTTTGATGGTGACCTTAATAAAGGGTCTACAATTTAACATTTATAAGAACCTGTTCCAATTGCTTGTACAATAATTGAACAATTGAAACTTTTGAAAAAGGATTAATTTATGATACTTCAGTATTGTAATTTATAACATTACTGATCGTGCCTGTAAAAATGGCATGCATTTCTTGTAAACTTACCCGTTTATACGAAATACAAATTATTATTGTTACTAAACACCCACCCTCCCACCACCACAGTTCGAACCCTGAACCTTCCGGTTACAAGGAAAGGTCGTAGACCATTCTCAATCACTGGGATCGGACTCAATGACCAGCCCATAAATTCCAACATCTATCAATTCGCGGTTTTAATGCAACTACCAGCCATTGCCATCACTGGCAAGTATTTGTCCTCACTCTCGACTGGATGGACCTCTGCCAGTCACTAGCGAGAATTTATGCGCCATTGAGTTGTGTCTCAGTGGCTAAATGGTCTACGAGGTTCGAACCCTTCCGGTGGATAGTTACTACTGAGGAGTCCCAAACTACGGTGAAATAGCTATCCAGTACACTCCTTCACTGGTTTTCAATGGTTCTCTCGCTAACATATCAATCCGTGGTCACACTTTGAAAATAGTATTATTGTTATTGGAGTTGCATATTGCAGCCATTACTCACACTGGAACGCTGATGCCCCCAAATGAGCGAACAACAAATCTTAAATCCTACTGCTAAATTAATTGAATACAATCGAGTGAGTACAACTCAACCACCTTGTATAAATCACAAAAGTTACAGATCAATTTTTAAAAAATTCTCAGCATGGATCATTTATACATATCAGAATAATTCTACTAAAGATACTATCACATGTACAAGATTGCCTTTACATTGTTTCTATTTTCAATTCAATTCAATTAAATTAATATATATGAAAAGTTAATAAATATGTAATTACACAATATATCATAAATCATTTCATATGACTATAGCAAATACTGATGATAAATATGGTGTACAGAAAATAACTCACAATTCAACTACACTTGAGTACATTTCTTTATTATTAAGGCTAACAGACTATTGAGCCCTGATAAACAACCTTGTACAGCCGACACGGTGAGTAGGTAGACCTCCATTTTCCTCTCGAAACGCACCTTCATAATCTATACCAATTATCTTCTATTCACTGCCTTCATGCAGAGGTGGTGGCGATGAGTGTTCCTCAGGGGAAATGAAAAGGTGACTACAAACATCACCTACGGTGTACATGGGGGACTACTCCAGAATCTAATAAGATTGAATCGCCTATGAACCTGTTTCGGTCACCGAGAACCATGAGAATGTAGCTCCTGACGCTGCACCAAGTGGATCAGACTAAAAGTGAAAGACTCGCAGTGGGGGAGGGGGGAGAGGCCTCTTGAGACAACCACCTAATTCAGCCTAAGTATCCGGGTAGTATCCCAGCGTTCAGGAAAACTATGAGATATACTCCTTGGTGCATCTCTAGATGCCCATAGTGTACGAAGTTTGCATTTTATCAAAGCGAATAATCATAATAATGATTTTTTCTCACGAAGACTGAAGAGATACAAACACCAGTTGCCAAGGCTGAAATAGGCGGAGCAGGACTCAAACCTGGGACCTAATACATCGCATGCTTACATTGGAGATGGTTTCCTATATGCCCCTGATTACAGAAGACATATGACAGAAATGTATAATATACAACCACAATGAGTAGTCAGAGGATATCCATGCAGGGATTGGGAAAGCAAAGCAAGCTTTCATTACTCTCAAGTTTGTGTGGAGGTTAACAGCACTCAGCATCTGGATTTTCAACTCCAATGTGAAGTCAGTCAGTGCTACTATATAAGGATCAGAGACTTGGCACCGCGTCATGAAGAGCACCTCAAATAAACTACAATCCATCAACAACAGCTAGCTGTCTTCGCTCAATACTCAAGATCAGATGGCCAGCCAGAAAAGATCAGCAACAGGGATCTCTGGCAATGAGCGAACCAACACAGCAGGAACCGATTGTGCAACAAATAGGCAGGAAGAAATGGAGGTGGATTGGCTGGCCATACTCTGAGGAAACCATCAAGTGACGTCACTAGACTAGCCCTTGAGTGGAACCTGAAAGAGAAGCGGCAAGTTGGTCGTCAGCGCAAGGGTGACTTGGAGGAGGTCATATGAAGTGGGGATGAAAGCATGTGGGCAGACTTGGAGCCAGGTGAAAACGTTAGCAGAGAGCCAAACGCAATGAAGACGTGTGGCTGAAGCCCTATGTTCCTCTAGGAATTAAAGAAAATAATAATAATAATAATGAGTAGTCAATGCATTTTCTAAACAATATAAGAAAAGTGTACACGATCGAATAGGTGTAGGCAGTGTCAACCAACCCGACTAGTGACAATTTACAACAAGAGAAACAAAAGGCTAGAATTCATCAAATTCACAAAATTAAACTAACACTACTCACTTGTAATTAGTGCATCTGAAATGTAAGAAAAAAACAAAAATTTACGAGATAATCATAAGACTACAAATATAAACTTATCACGAATCTAACCTAGTGTAACTGTGGTGGTGTGATACAGACAATGAGTTCCGACGGAATATGATTCTCACATATTCACACAGTTCAATACGGACGGCATTAGCAACACAATACTATATATCTGTTTGAACATTCTATTTCATGTCGTTTAATGCAAACCAAAAATCACACGCTCAGTGATTGGTTAAAGAATATAAACTGTATAGATGTACATAAATAGCGGTTTGATTAATGAAAAATATACCTTGGCTTCTGTATCTTGCCTTCTATTGTTACATAACTACTTACTAGAAGGTATAACGCTATCGATTTATTTAGTGTCTTTCAGATAAATCTATCATGCATAGGTTGGTGCCTACAACTGACCGACTGACTGACTGACTAAGTTTCACCATAGAACTTTGCACACAAAAGTACATCAGTTCAAGTTGCTCTACTGCAGGAAGTATACAAAGGCAGACAAAACAATAAGAAAAAAGGAATAGTGGGAGAAAGATTAGGGTTCAGTGGATATGTGAGATGAAGGATGGGGAGGATAGCTTCATGCCTAATACTCTCTCTCTTACCAGGCTTACTACAAGCTAGGCAGGTTTAGGGATGCGCCAGCTGGGAATTGAAAGCCGAAGCACTTATGGCTTGAGCTGCAATCTAAGAATGTTTGGTATGCGATTCGCTCCCGCCAAATGTAAGATGATGTTACAGGACCGGACTACACTGACTCCTAGTTTAGAAATAGAGAGTGAAGTGGTAGAGCACGTTGACCGCTTCACTTATTTGGGAAGTTGCATCAGCCAAAGCCAACGGGTTGATCTCTGACGAAATCACAGTACGGATACAGAGGGCTAGTTTCGCATATCCCAGTTTACGCCGTCTCTGGCGGAAACGTGATATCCGGCTGGCTGCTGACCAAAGGATGTGTGTACTGCTCAGCTGTCCGCTCCGTCCTCCTTTATGGCTATAAGTGAGACATGGCCATTGAGAGTGGGAGACATAAAAAGGCTAGCTAGCTGTCTTTGATCACAGATGCCTGAGTGGTATAATAAGTGGTATAATAAGGTGAGCAATATTCAGGTTAGGCATCGAGTGCTAGGTAAGCAGGGGAAATCAGTCGATGAGGCTGTGAAATTACATCGACTGAGATGGTTAGGACACGTGTTACGTATGCCTAGCCATCGCCTTCCTCGACTGACGGGTAATGTTAGCTGAAATAGGGTCAAGTTGGAAAAGAGCTAGCGGTGGTCAAACTAAAACATGGCACCAGTCAATGAAATCTACAACAGTTAGTTTAAGCCACGTAGGAAGGTGTAGACTTCCTTACTGGTTGCGGTCCTGGGGAGGGTAAAAACCAATGGCTGGAAACAATTGGTGATATGACTCAAAATCGTTCTCATTGGCTCAGATGCATCCACTCCCTGTAACTTATGATTTCCAATAGAACTATATCGTTCTTCGTTATTACTATTCTCTTGTCTCACACCTCTGTTTACTGTCTCTAATATGCATTTCTCCTACTTTCTTCTCTTCCTTTGTGTGATACATGGAGTGTGGCGACTTGAACTGTTACACATCGGTGCAAAGTTCTATGTCGAGAACAGACAGGAGCACTTGTGGTTGGAGAGCCAAATATGTAGTTTATATTAACTAGTTACACCAATCTATCATTTGGTAATCAAATGACTGTCATGAAGTATATATGCATTTAGATCATACGAGGAATTAAAAAGACGTTTGCAAAGAAGAAAATTCTCCTCCCGTTGAAGCATGTATCAACTCGGCTGTACATTAGTGTGTATGTGTGTATATATAAACAGTACAGGGGTGGGATAATTCCGGAACTGTTACTCGTCAAGGGTTAAATTACAAAGAACAACAAGACCAACAAATAGGGATTAAAAGCGTAATAAAACGTAGTAAAATAAACAGGAAGTTCGTATAAAAAACACAGTAGGATAATTATCATTGAAAAAAATTGGCTATTTATGATAGAGTAAAGGCAACAGTGGGTCAAACTTCTTTTAGATGCATAGTGTTGGCTTGAATTTTTGGATTAGCTATTGTTACTACTTATTATTTATCCCTTTAGGTTTCGAGTGGAAAACAAGGGGTTTCAAGTTAGAGCATTGAAGTTTCGGTAGCAGTGGTTCCATTTTTATGAGGTGAGGTTGCTAGTCTCACACACCAAATCTTTCCTCTTTACCGGCCTTACTAACAGTTTCGCGAGGTGAATGGGTGCGTCGGCCATGCATAGAACCCCGTACCACGTGCATGGTCGGTGAGCGTTCTACCGCTGAATCGCCGACGCATTTTGGTTCACTATTGTTTTAGGTATACGCAGATGTCTTCATCTTATTCTCTTTGAGAGGTTTGATCAGATGATCTTGTATAGGACTTTGAAGGTCTTTTCAAGTGGAGTTAAGTGCCATGAGTTCATCATATGTTTTTCTGCCGAGTCATAGACGCACCCACATTCTCTTTTCGCTAGCCAAACAGACTTCTACCGGTATATAATGGTGGATAGTCTATATACTAACGTTAAATAATGCTTGATAGTATGCATGTATGCTGACACAGACACTAAATAACCATCTCCACTTATGAAAATTAGTTTATGCAAGTGTTGGTTTACAGGGATTTGATTAGCTACAGGATTTCGTCATGAGCTGACATCTATTAGAGAACCATTGGAAAACCAGTCAGGTAGCACTGGACAGATGTTTTGTCAACCTAGTTTTGAACCACTCTTCAGCAAGATGCACCCATACCGCGGGGTTCGAACCCACTCCTTTCCAGTTACAAGGCGAGCTTGTAGACCATTAAACCACTGGGACCCAATCCAGTGGTCACCCTATGAATTCCAACTTCTGCCAATTCACGATTTAGCGCGACCACTAACCAATGTCATCCTTGGCGAGTATTTCTCCACACACCCGACTTGCTGTACTCCTCCACTGGCCATGCCTTCTCACTAGAACGCAGATAACTACCTACCTGAATAGGGCCAGTAGCTAGTGAGCATTTCATTGGTGTTCAAGTGTTGGTTTGCATGGATTTGATTGGTTATAGGATTTCATCATGAGGTGACAGTTGTTAGTTTACCTAAAAAGGCGACAGATTTATGAGCATATAAACTACAGGATTACAATTTTGTGACTACTCCTCGACAATGTATAAAATTATCAACATTGAGTGGGCTGGCTGGCTGGCTGGATTCAACATAGAACATTGAGTGGGAGCGCATTAAAAGCACAAAAACAAGAATTTGAGATGACACTAATATACTTCACTTACGAGAACTTCGTCTCAGTGAGAAAACAGAAACTATTGTATTCAAAATACGGGAATAGTAAATGTATTCCTGAATAAATAAAATCTTTGGTAATAATTAGTAACTTCTAAGATTAAGTGAATATTTATCAAGTTTTATCACTTGTCTTGTCTCGCTATACTAGCAGCAGCATCTTTCGTTATCCTATTTCATGAAAACTAGAAAATATAATAAAAGCACAAAACAATGGATACCAAATTTTACAGAATGAATTTAACTAACGCAGGTTTGTTTGAACTAAAAGCGCTATAGCATTTTGACAATCTGAACTCGAGGCCAAATTAAAAGCGAGCTGTACGGCATCTTCACATGTTACATCTTTGCTATTCTCTTCACAGCAATGACCATTACAAACCAATGGATTTGCACCAACTTCGAATAAAAGTTCGCATGCAAGAAGATTCCTCAGGCGGATTGCATGGTGCAAAATTGGCTAAATTATGAAAGAAACACAAAATAACATGGGTGAAATAGGTAATACTATGCAAACTGGAAAGTATTAAGATTGTTTCAATATTAAGCAGTGTCGACTTATTTGAGTCGATAGACGAAAGTCATAAAATCCTGATAGATGAATGAATGAATGTTATTCGACAACCACATGCATTCGACAGTGACTCACATCTATTGTGTATGTGGATTAATGATACTACCTGACTGTCCCAACCTTTATCGATGACGATAAGTCTGAGACTGTGACCGGTCGCTTAAAGTTGAGCGTCTACACTGACCAGGCACAGCTCCATCTTTAAAACAAACCAAAGTAACTAATATTCACAAAAATATCTAGTTCAGAGGATATCATCAGAAGCCTTCACAACACAGAGGCAGATATAGGGGCCTAACAAATTAACCGTTACTGGAATAGGTAAGAAGAAATAGGAGTACTTGGGGCAAGTGATCCGTCTATTGTGACGTAACGACATCAGTAAAAGGATTGTTTGTCAAGTGGCACCGGATGTAAGAGTAACGAGACTGCCTGTAAGGTCTATCATCATAACTTACCAGAAGTTTCAGTAAGATGTAAAAAATTTATTACAGTCTTCGTCTATCAGACAAAGATGAAATAGGTTAGAGAAAGCCACAGAAATACCGCAAAATGATGTGTCTATAATATCGGAATTATTGGTTTAATAATGGTAACATACTGGTTAAATTATGGTCAGACAATGCTTAAAATGGGAAAAATTACGCCATGTATTCAAAATTAACCTACTTTTTCCTACTATGGGCCATGCCCATTATTCACCCCTTATTAAGATTTTTGTTCAATTAGAAGCCTGGCGTGTTTCCGGACACGTGAGATACACCACTACCAGTGAGAGTCCTCATGGACTACTCATGGTGACACCAGCCACTAGTTGCTGTTAGTATTCACCTTTAGATACCTGATAAAATTTATCAAAACATGAAGCAAACAATATATATATCAGCTGTTTCTGAATGGCATGTGATTGGATTTCATGAACCTGATGAAGTTCGTATGAGAAAAGACAAGAACACTTTTCAAGAGGACCAGACACTTGAAAACCAAGTGCACTTATAAAATCTCCCCCATTTAAAGTTAGAATAATTTTAATATACAAAAAACATGTGAGCGATATAATCAGCAAGTGCATTTGCCACTTACCAGACTAAATCCATCAGCTTCAAAAGGTTTGTACAAATCAACTAAAATTCAATTTATAAAGCAAAATATGAGAATTACATACATTGCGGATGTGTTACTATACTCTTCAGACAACTATAACTGTTGTTTATAATGGAACTATATGCCAGCTCAAAAAGTTGTGCAATTGAAACAGGTTCATTTAATACATTGTCTACATGCTCACAGTCATCATTGTCGATAATATTAGCAATCATTATTAGATATCAAACAAATCCAACGTAATGACCTTGACATCCTCCTGTAACGTTACATTACGTATTGCCGCAAATGACAGCGACCTTCCAATATCCAAGGTCCATTTCAAGAAATTGTTTAAACCTAACTGGTAACTTTCGGTTCGCTTCTTTGTCTTAAAATAAAGGTCCATAATATTAAGCAAACATCTGTGTGGTTTCCTCCCCCCACCATAGCTTTGGTTAACTCCTACGGGAGTGATAGGGAGGCAGTTAAATATGGTCTGAAATGAATTATAGCCATCTTGTCGTCATGATCGGAATCACTCATTTCACTTGCCAGCCGTCTAGTGTATCCGAAGAGGGATATAATGACTGCGAGCTGACATCAGTCAGAAAGTCATTAGAAAGCATAGAAGTACCGAATAACAGTTTCGTCAGACTAGTTTGGGACTCTTGATCACTACGCCTACTTTTTCGGACGTGTTTTCGCTGGTATCCATTTAACGCCCACTGATATATTAATATTATTGTTTCCTTTAGTTCCTAGAGGAACACAGGCCTTCAGCTGCACGTCTCCATTGCGTTTGGTTCTCTACCAACGTTTCTACTTGGCTTCACGCCTGCCAACATACTTTCATCTCCTGTTCACATGACCTCCTCCATCTCACTCCACCCTCTCACTGACGACTAACTCGCCGCTCCTCGTTCGGGTTCCACTCGAGCAACGGCCAGTTGTATGGTGTTACTTGATGTTTTGTTTTCTCAGAGTATGGTCAATTCACCTTCATTTCTTCCTGCATATTTGCTACAAAATTGGTTCCTGCTGAGTCGGTTCGCTCATCACCAGAGATCCCTCCCTGCTGCATTGACTTAAGTCCCCTCTGTTCGGCAGTTTTAATAAGTAGCTCTTCTTCCAATCTGAAGGTACGTTGCCAACCTTCTCCATTAGTGGTGTCATTAAGTCCTCTGTTGTCTATCGATCCATTTTCAATGCTTCAAAGTGGATCCCGTGTGGTCCTGCTGCTTTTCCAGTTTTTGGCATCTTGATTGCCTTCAGGATCTCTATATCCGTTGGAGAGTTGATGGTCATTGGTAGATCTGCTTCCGCTGTTGGTATTATTGGGTGCGTTGTAGGTGGTGGTCGTTTAATTAGTATTTTGAAGCGTTCAGCCCTGTGTTTCTTTTGCTCTCCATCGTCAATTTTCACTGGCTTAACTTGCGTTGAACTTTTCCCCGATAGGAACCTTGTTGTTTGGTAGAGTGTTACGGGGTCTCCTTTGCTTGCAGATTGTTCTGCCTCACTTGCCATAGCTTCATATTGTTTCCTTTTGTCTTCCCTGGCTCTTTTCTTTACTCTTTTGTTCAGTGTGTTGTGGCTTGCATTCAACTCCTGTTTTCGTTGCTCGTCGATGCGTTGGGCAATCTTTTGTTTCAACATCCTTCTCTCTTCTATTAGGCTCCATGTGTCCATAGTGAGTCACTGTTTGTCCCTTCTCCTCTTTCTGCCTACAAGCTCCACGCAGGTTTGATTTCACATCACTACCAGGCTGCTGCAGTGTTTTTCGACGCTGACCTCTTCGCTAGTGTTGATTTGTGTCTACGCCTTTTTCTATATGATTTCAGTGAATATGTTCTTTGTGGTATGATCCTTCAGTTTTTGAGTATTGAACTTGACTTGTGGTCTATCTGCAGCTCCTGTTTCTTTGAAGGGTTTTAAATTGATCTGGAGTGTTCCTTGTGCGAGGTGGTGGTCTGAGCCAACGTCTGCTCCTCTTCTTGCTTTTGGTTCGCCCGTCTGGTGCAACCCATGTAGCCTTGTGGATATCCTTATGCTTGTATACGCTACCACCAATCACTAGTGCATTGAAGGTGCAGAAGTCGGCGAATAGTTCCCCTTTCTCATTCATTTCTCCGGAAGCTTCTCTACCCATGATGACTTCTCTTCCCGTATTGTCTGGTACCAGTTTGACGTTCATGTCTCGCATTAGTATTTTAATGTGACCGACTGGGGTATTGTCTATTGTTGCCTGAAGTTGTCTGTAGAACTCTTCTTTCTTATTGAGGTCTGCGTTGTTTGTAGGTGCATAGCATTGTAGAATTGTCACTTTCCTTCCTTTGGAGTTGAATTTGGCGGCCATTATCCTGGGCGAGATCGCCTCCCATCGTATGAGGACTCTTCTTGCCGTTGGTGACATTACGAAAGCCACACCCTCGGTGTGCGTGTGGTTGTCTTCTGGGTGACCGGAGTAGATCACCGACTCTCCCGTTGACAATTTTGCGAGTTCATTCCCATTCCATCCGCTTTCGCTTATCTTCAGTACTTGAATACTATACCTTTTCATGTCATTTGCAATGTAGGCAGCTTTGCCAGTCTCCTAGATGGTGCGGACTTTCTATGTCCCCACATAGACTTTTTCTTTGGTAGCAAGAAAACTCCTCGTATTGAAGTTTCTGCAGCAGCTTTCATTAAGGGGTAGGGTTTCTAGCCTCACGCCTGAAAATGGGGTTTTCACATGAATATATAGTTTACAGAGGGCCGACTTTTCGGGTTGCTCCCCTTAGGACCAGGAAAACAGGGAATAAATCGATCAAAACAATACCAGAAAAAGCAAAAAAGTTCATAACACTAAGGGTAGCGACGACAAAAACCGCGAAATCCATAGCAGTAGTATCACTGTCAAAAATGCTTTAAAGATAAATGATATCGAAACCATAGACTCACTGACTTGGATCAATTTAAGGGCTAAAAGTATCCCGCATGCTCAAGGTCATTGATGGAGTGAGAGGCTCAAAGGTCATTTTCGTCCATGTTAGTCGGCCATGTTAGATTGCAGTTCCGTAGCCGTTCGTTTACACATTGGTTTTTACGTGTATCCTGCAGTTATTCACAACTTATCTTGATGCACATTTTTCAGAAATGTTGCGTTTCAACTCATTTTTGTTTCCACTGCCGTTAAAATTAGTTACTTCGTTTGTTTCGAGAGTTTTTACCAGCAAGTCATTGCATTCATTTCATTATAATTGTTTCATACCTTGCATTCACGCGTGGTTTGTGTTTTAGTTGTTTTTCATCTATTAATGAAGCAGTGCTGCGTAGAAGTTTTGGAAAATATGCACGTGAACATGTTCAGCTGACAAAAGCTGTTGTTTTTAGTTCATTTTCTGGTTACCGTTATTGTTTCTGGCTCAATTGGTTACTTAATATGTAGAAATCTGGAAAAAACAATGTCTTCCACGTTCATATTTACACCATGCAACAATCTACAAGCTTATCTGGTGAAGGGAGTACAATCAGAGTTGATATTAGCAAGGTTTTCGAAGAACAAATTAAACCTCGAAAATTTCAAACCTGGTTTGAAATTGTAAAAGATTTGAAGCTTTCCGAGAAGCTGAGAAAGCCATCAGTGTCTATTATCAGTAAGAAAATCGGATATATTTTCAGAGAATCTAAATCAAACAAGGTTGCACCACATGGGAAGTGTGAATCTGATATACCTGTATGTAGTTTTGGAACTGAAAGAAGCTTGAAAGCAATCAGAAACCCCTAAATGGTAAGTGTTACCTATGTTTATTAATGCCCAATGTACTACATCCAAATACATGAACTAGGACCGCCTGTAGCAAAGCCAGTGTTAACAGCCATTCGATATGTTGCAAGACGATTTAAAAAGCGGATAACATGATGATCTGGTGAGTGTACGAACTATCCCAGTTAAAGACTTTAATTAGCAAGAATATCGTTTCGGGTTGTAGTCTGCAATCGGTGGTTTTCCCGAAGTTGTGATTTCTCCGTGGCTATAAATATCGATGCCCATTATTTTTAAGTAAAGTTTAAATAAATTTTCCTTGAACTAATGGTCTTCTTTTTCTTGGCGGAACATCTGTTGATACGATTAGACGATTACGTAGCAGAGTAGGATATTCTGTGACTGAGAATCGTAGTCGTTGTGTTTTGGACTAATTTCGCGCATCTGACTGTTATAACCCTACGGAAATGGCTTTTTCCTCATGGTGCACTATGTTGTGTAGAAATTATAAGTGCGCTGTCTTCTGTAGACTTTTAAGTGACTGCAAATAGTGAGTTATTTGAGGTTATAGAACGAATACCTCTAAACGCATTTGTGAAGATTAGGGTATATTTACTTTTCTTGACGAGAAGACGACGTTTTTATCGAGAAAGTTGTCAGAATTTCCACTTTTACTTTATTATTCAAAGATAACGTTAAGTTGCTCACTAAGGTAGTAGCTATGGGAGATTACCTTCAGTGGAAACCGCTTTAAGGTAACTGCGTAGCTTTAGGTAATGCATCATAGAAGTAAGCAGAGTAGGTAAATTGTGTCTAAATATATTAAACGTATAACTGGTCAATTCTCTTACATACTAGTTAGCCTTATAAATAATGAATGCACCATACAAACGTTTACTTTGACTTGCATACCCAGCTCATAAGCATTATACCTGCATGTGGTAAACATTTAAGGCTGATACGCTGCGTGATGAGTTCGGTGAAACACGGTGCTATCATGATTAAAGCAAGAAGAACAGGTTAAGTAGGATAAAGTGGCGTCATTAAAGTCTAATAATAATAATCTACTTAAATTCGAAACATAGTACTTATTATACAGGGCGCAATTCTCAGCATTTGTCACAACATTGCATCTGAATTACTTAAAATATAAATTAACCACGCGAATTTGTCCATGGTAAGGGTGTTAAGTCGAAAATAAGTATAAGTATAATAACAGTAAAGCTTGATGGAATTAGGATAGGGAGAATGGTTTATTCACTAGTGCAAAGGTGGCTAGTTAGTTCGTCCCTGACACTATTTTCATCGCATAAAATACGTGCCAAATGAAGTGGCTATCAACCCTAAGTTACTACACTTCTTTTTACTACATACTTGGCGATTAGCAGTATACAGACTGGCTAGATAATGCGACTTTGGTGTATCAAACAGTACAAAATTATTATTCAACTTGCTAAATCCTACTTAGTTTTTATGATGTGCTCTAGTATAGAAACACGCGAAATCCTATGGATGACCAAAATAACAGTCTCATAATACTACAGTTAATCTTCA